ACAAAGACACACACAACAGGAACACAACACAACCCAACCAACACCAGAAGCCCCAGAAAGAGAGACACCAAGACGACAACGAGAGAAAAAAACAACACCAAACACGGACGCACAACAGAACACACACAACACAAAAAGCAGAACAAAAAAACAAAAAGGGAGAGAGAACCACCAAGAGAAGAGAGACACACAAAAAGACAGACAGACAGACAAACACACCACCACACACACACACACACACACACACACACACACACACACACACACACACACACACACACACACACCCACACACACACGCAATTGACGCATGCGGTGCATGCGTCAATTGCGTGTGAAATCAATTGCAGGCTTTACCTCTGTTCTGTGGTCCTGCGGCTTGTAGCGTCCATGGCAGCGGTGTGCGCTGCGATGTCTTCGGAAGTCTGCTGCGTAATCTCCTCTTCTGCAACGCCCTCCTCCAATGGTTCCTGCTCGTCTACGGCTTGCTCAGCGCGGCTCGCCGCAAAGGCCGCAAAATCTGAGAGGGAGAGGGCTTCCTGCATGGGCAGCCACGACACGTACGCAACGGCATTTACACCGTATGCAGCCGCTGCCAAAGCGCAAAAGAGGCCTAGTAAAAAGTGTGCCCTTGGATCTATATATAGATGTATACATATACGTGTGTATTTGTATTTGTATGTATTTCTGTGAGCATGGATAGATGAAATTCGGGTCGTTTATAAGGATGCATGCATGTATGATTATATTTATGTACATAATTGTATTTATGTACATAATTATATTTATGTACATAATTATATTCATGTATCGAGACAGAGACAGACAGATACCAAGATGTCATCTATCTCCCTGCCTGCCCATATAGTAGGTTCAGGAGGAGCCAGCTCGATCACACAGCACATGCCAGTCCGCAGGTGCGCCCTTAATCCCCGTTGCTTTTCGCGTCTTGAATCGCACCTGCAAGCGCCCAAAGTATTTTTGCTGCCCGCTGGAGAAGAACAAGACGCGATCGCAGTCTGGAAGCACTGCAAGCCGATGGCTAACGAGCAGCACTGCAGCGTTCCGGAGGAGGCCCTTGATGCACTGAGAGAAAATGTGTTGCGCAACATGCACGTCGACTGCTGACAAGCAGTCATCGAGCATGTACACTTCGGAACGTCGGTAGACTGCGCGAGCAAGAGCAACTCGCTGCTTCTGACCACCAGAAAGATTGAGGCCTCGTTCTCCGATCTCCGTCTCGTCTCCCCCAGGCAACACGGATATGTCGGGGAGCAGGGCGCATGCTTCGAGCACCTTGAAGTACCTTTAGATCGCAACAGTGGTGATGTCGCAAAGCAACCCCTTTCGATGAGGGGAATTAAGCCACGATCGGCTCTGCCGGGAAGAGCCCCCCCAAAAAGCCTCCCTCCCCGCAAAAGCGAACGAACGGAAGGGTGGCGAAATTTCGCACATGTGTTCAAACTGCTTATATTGTGGCACTGGCCGACCCAAAGGACGCTGGCTGCATGCTTGCATAGAGATATATGTGAGTGGATGTATGTGTATATATACATATGTACATGTATATGCAGCAACATGAATATACTTATATATATGTGTGTGCAGGATATGTATTTCTGCAGGAAAGCGGCACATTTTAGCGAGGCGAGTTAGGCCGAACACAACACGCCACCAAGTCGAGATCCGCGTGAGAATTGACGCGTTGGTGCTGTGGGGTCTCTCTCCTCACCACTCTTCGTCGAATGCAGATCCAAACAGAATGTTCTCCTTCAGCGTAGCACTCTGGATCCAGGGAACTTGGCTGCAATAGGCCACCGTGCCGGGCACCAGCATGCGGGCGCTGCTTAAGGGCGTTTGGTCGCAGTAGAGGGGAGAACCTGGCGAAAAGCTTGAAGAACTCGCTGCTGGAGGCTGATCTCTGCCGCTGCGCGCAGCTCCCCCGCGGCGGGGTGCAACACGCACAGTGCTGCCAAGAAGCGACAACAGCAAGCCACTTTTCCCTGCACCTGTAGGCCCGACAACGGCAACCAACTCGCCTGAGCGTACAGCGCAAACCTCACGAGCACGCGCAGCACTGTCAGGTCAGGAACAGGCAAGCAGGCAGGTAGGCAGGCGGGCAGCCGCAAGGCAGGAGCGCCTCGTGCCGTACATGTACGTCTTCACACCTCAAACCGCTCTCTGTGCATGCATGTATAGGATGGGCATGCACATCATGTACATGCACAGACAGCGAGCACGCGCAGAAGAAGCGCTTCAGAAAAGACAGCACGGAATACGGTATTCAACGGTGGATACCACAAAGACAAGGTTCTACCCTGCCTTCCTCCTGCTACGGGACGTCTTTGCTTTTTCTCGTAAAAGAGTCTCACCCTTGTGACACTTGAAGGACACGTCTTTAAGGAGCGGCGTGCCGTTAGGCCATGCGAAGGAAACGCCTTCTACCTCGATCGCGGGAAAACCCTCGAAAGAAGGCTCTCGGCGATCTACTGACAGCTCGCGTTGCATGCGTGTATTGCCGGGGGAGACACTGCCAAGCTGCGACGGCCCTTGCGCTGTTGGGGGCGGAGGCACTGGCGATTCTACATGCTTGTCTCCTAGGGGGGGCAAACCCTGCGCTTCTTCCTGCTCGAGAAAAGCTTGCAGCCGACTCAGCGCAATCTTCGCCTCCAGCGTGTTGTTCGCCGTCATAGGCAACAGCTGCATGGGGAACCTCAGGATGTTGAAAAGAGACATTGCAGTAAAGGCGGTGGCTGCGTCCAAGTCTCCATGAAGCAGCACGTAGCTGCCAAAGGTGGCAATGGAAACAAACACTGGAGCCACAAGCCACTGCGCGCGAGAAGCAACCATAAGCCTCCAGTAGACTCTCAAGGCGTTCAGCTCCCGTTCGCGGATGCTGTTGATCCGAGAGTAAAAAGACAACTCCCAGGCATACATCTTGATCGCCTTCATTCCACTTAAAAGCTCAGTGCATGCGGTGCTCCGCTCATCACGTATCCCCATCAGCCGCCGTTGCATGCGGGTCGCAATGCGGCCAATCCAGCCTGCGGCCACCACCATCATCACCACCATTATCACCACCATCATCACCACCATTATCACCACCCCAGCCCCCACTCGCAAGAGCCGCCGCTCTCTGCCCCGCGAGAAAACAGCTTTCGGCATGCACGCTCACCATTTTTTGCGAACAAAGCGCACATCAGTCAAAGTGGAAGAAGAAGACAGCACACAGCGACCCCCCCTTTTTTCACCCTCCACTGGCCTTTCCCCATTCCGTTTAAAAACACAACAGACGCTAAAGCCTCGCAGACAACAGCAGCCGACGCCCCCCCCTCCCTCAACACGTGCACTTCCCACCTGTCGCTGGTCCGTTCAGAAGCATCACCAACAGTCCCCCGAAGGCAGCAATGCCTAGCAGGCGAAAGAGCAGGAACAAGGCAATCGTAATCTGTAGCGGTGCCGACCAGAGAATGTGCAGATACGCCATCACATCTTGGAGTCTCTGGGCATCCACAGCCAGCAGATTGACGTACTGGCCTGTCGTTCTGCTGCTGCTGTTCATGCTGCTGCTGCTGCTGCTGTTGGCAATGCCGCTGCTGCCACAGGAGGAGGAAGAAGAAGGCGGCGGTGCCCCTAGCTGAATTCTTACAGCCTTTCTATAGATGAGAGCTGAAACAGCTACCCGAACACGCATGCCAAGACGGAACTGCCGATGAAAATACTGATGCAGGACGGCCGTCTGCGTGACGCTCGCCACCAGCAGCAACCCACAAAACAACAGACCCCGTTCCAAAGGAGGCGACGGCACCGTTCTACAACAATCAAAAGGCGCAGCATGCACACAAACACACATATATATAGATAAATGCATATATAGATACGTGTATATACATATATATACATATAAATACATATATACACAAACATGTGTATGCATACAAACATATAGATGCATACATACACATACACACACATACATGTATATAATCATACACACACACACGCACATATATATATACATATATATATATAAACACGACATTCAACCCTTTAAGATGCTGGCACCGCATCCTGTGACGTCCCCCACCGTACGTGGGAGGGAGACCATACATACGCACCCTGTTGCCCCTTAACCCTCACACAGCAGCCTTGCCTACGCCAAACTTCAAAGAGGCCAGTGCCTCCGCACGCACTGCCAAAACTGCCACAGGAGCGCCCCTTAGCACGGACGCATTACTTACGAGTCGGAGCTTTGCTGCAAAAAGAGGATTAGCTGCTGCAACACCACAGGTCCTACGAACTGCAGCACATCGTACACGAGTTTTAGGAGAGCAGAGCCAGCGCAAATGCCGCCATATGTCCTCCAGAGGATTCTGAACAAACTGACCCTCCCGCTGCTGCTGTTGCTGAGCGAAGTTCGCGCAGCCGAGGCACCAGGATTTCTCTCCTCCGCCTCTGGCCTCAAGAGAGCTGCGGAAGTCTCGCTAGATTCTGTGCTGACAGTGAGCGATGGAGGTACTCGCTCGGGTACAACACGCGTGCGCGTATGCTCGGATCCACCACCCCTCGACGTAGTCCTTGCCGCCGCTTCCACCTCCGCTTCCCAGGCAGCAAGCACAGCCTCTGTTTGCGCCTGTGCAAAGAACGGGAGAAACAGCGCATGCAGTGCAGATTAGAGAAAGAGGCACCCGCGATAAAGGGCAAGAAGCCGCGCAACGCAGCAAGAAGAAGCCACCAGACACGGAAGAGGGGGGGAGAAGGCAAACGAAGGGCGGAAGGAAAACCCAAAATGGGTAGAAGCGCATTGAAAAAACGCAAAAAGGGTAGACGTGCATTAAAAAACACAAAAAGGGTAGACGCGCACTTAAGAAACGCAACAAGGGTAGATGCGCATTTAAAAAACGCAACAAGGGTAGATGCGCATTAAAAAACGCAAAAAGGGTAGACGCGCATTAAAAAAATGCGAAAGGGTAGACGCGCATTAAAAAAACGCAACAAGGGTAGACGCAAAATAGGCTCCTCATTTGAGAACGAAGAGAGACTGAAAGATGAAATAGGCAAGAAATAAGAACAACGCGCTAGGCATGCAGAGAGAGGCAGAGGAGGAACGCACCTGCGTCGTGTCTTGTGGCATCAGCTCATAAGCGTCTGACGGCTGCAGCTGCTGTCTGTTGCCTCGCGCGATGAGCGGCTGCATCCAAGAGAATGTAAGAAGACTCCACCAAGAGGCGCGAGCCTCTGGGGATGAAGAAATGCCCCCATCCGCAATTTCACCTAATAGCGGCTCCTATGCAGTAGGAACACATGATGCAGAGACATACATGCAAACACATACTTAAATATATACATACATATGTACATACATATGTACATACATACATGCATATATACATACATATATACATACATATATGCATATGTATATATATACATAAATATATACATACATATATACGTACATATATAGATATATACATACACATACAGTAAGAGAGAGAGAGGAAGAGCGCGTGGCAGAGGGACAGATAGATAGAGAGGGCAATAGCGAGGGAGAGAGATGTATAAAAATAGAAAAAGAAAAAAAGACGTATCCAGGCACACAACAGCGAATGCGGCGGGGACGCAGGCAAAGAAGCGACAGCAACCAACGTTGTATACCTAGCTACGGCAAGTAAAACACGCGGATACAGATCTATATACATATGTACATATATATATATATATATATATATATATATATATATATATATATATATCCCAGTATTCACGCCTGTACATGCTGCAATAGGGAGGAGCAGACACGCTTGGACGGAGGATGCTTTGTCCTTTGGTAGACATCGGCATCCTGTAAGTACTCTCGTGTTTTTCCTCCCTTCCCCCCTACGTTCCAAGCGGCTCAATTGAAAAACCTTCTTTTAGGCGTGCCCAAGCGCATTAGAGTGTTTGTTACGCACAGTGTCGGAGTCGACGATGGAGAAGGCAATTAGAAGAAACAGCTCGGAAAGCACGAGGACGACTGTCTCTGCATCTGAGGGGAGGAAAGCCGTCCATAAGAAGGCGCTTCTGAGCCATCGGCGGAGGGCAGTCTGCAGCCTGCAGAGCTGCCCTCCAAAGTGGAGGAGCAAGCACACGCGGAGGCAGGCGTGTTGCTTGTGCCCTCTACGTGCCGCCAGTCTCTGGAGGATCCAAAAGGCCACGAAGAAGAGGCTAGATAAAAAAAGGAAGAGCTGCTGCTCTCGCAGGAGGGCGAGGTGCTGCTCCACGGTGGACCCCACCAGGAAACCCAGCGGCAACAGCACACACAGGACGAGCAGCGTATTTCGCAAAACGTCCAAATTGCTTAGCCGCTGCTGCGGCAGCGGCTGCTGCTCGAGCAGCAAGCGCGGAGCAGAGGAAGCTGCACGAATCAAAAAGGGTACTGTTAGCACAAGGATACTCAGAGAGAAGAGCGGCAGTGTGACATCCTCGAAACACGGATTCAGATCCTCTCGGATTGAATCCCAAGGCATCCAGAAAGGCGCTGCTGACTGCTCGCAAACGCCGCTAGGAGCTCCTGCAGCTACCAGCCCCTTCACAGCTGAGGATGGCGTCCACCTCAGGGGGGGCAGCAGCCACCCACTGGTGGCATCCCGGAAGCCCTCCATGACGCTGCGTGCTCCTTCTCCACGAAGAGTCGCCTCGGACGGGAACGAGGGCGTAACTTGGCACAAAGCACCCTCCTTTAGCGATGGCTGAGGGTTCAAACTACCTCAGCCACGGGGAGGCTCCCATAGGGAGAGCGAAAGGGCCCTGCGGGGCGGGTTGCTGCTCGGAAAATCACGAGAAGCGAACAGAAACACGAAATCGATGCTGCCTAGCAACACTCCGGGTCTGCGTGTAACAGTACAACTCGACGGGGTGTGTATCCCCTATCCTTGGATCACACACTAGCACGGTTAAAGCAGGTTCAATGACGATTCCGAACTCGAAAACATTCGTTCGAATAGCCAGTTTTGGGGGAGGCACTATTACGACCATACGACTAAGGGGCGGAGTGGGGCAAGCTGCGACTTTGCGCAGCGCTTCATACGGTTGTGCGGCAGCAGCAGCCGCCTGCTCCCTGCCCCCCACCGTCTGCTCGGGTGTGTGTGGATTGCCGGCAGGGGAGAAGGATGCAGGAATGCGTCATTGGTATGTGTGTGTAGGTAGGTACTTGTTTTTCTCTTAAACACTGTTTCTTGATCCTTTCTTTTGTACGAAAATGGCGTGCCTTGTGGGTTCGAAGGCTCCTGATGTGACGTGTGAGGCGGTGATGCCAGATGGGAGCTTCAACACGATATCGCTGAAGCATTTCCAGGGGAAGAAGTATGTCTTGTTGTTTTTCTATCCTTTTGATTTCACTTTTGTCTGCCCCTCGGAAATCTTGGCTTTTAGCAAGGCCGTTGCCGATTTCGAGGCGCGAGACGTGCAGGTGATCGGCTGCTCTATTGACTCCAAGTTCACCCACACCGCATGGCGCTCTCAGGGCCTAAAGAATGGCGGTATAGGCCCCGTTCAGATCCCGCTGATGGCAGACGTTACCAAGGAGGTTTCTAAGGCTTTCGGCGTGCTGCTGCCGGAGGGTATGGCCCTGCGTGGACTGTTCCTCATTGACAAGGAGGGCATCGTACAGCACGCCCTTGTGAACAACCTTTCAATAGGACGCTCCGTTCATGAGGCTCTCAGAGTGGTAGACGCTCTGCAGCACCACGAGAAGTACGGCGACGTCTGCCCAGCCAACTGGCAGAAGGGCGAGAAAGCTATGAATCCAACCGCAGCAGGAGTAGCCGAGTACCTTGGCAGCCTGCACTAGACAGCTTGCAGCACGACAAATAGTAATTTCACCAGCTCTTGTTGAGAAGGTCCCGCTTTTTGTGCCTTGCTTCTTACCGGCAAGGGGCTAAAGGCGCCTCCGGCAGCGTAGCATTCAATTTCGTGCGCTGGCTCATATGTGCAATTTATGAGGCAACGGCCGTCAGGTCTTTGCTGCGCGTAGATTGTGAAGTAACTGCCGTCGCTCTAGCAAATAGACATCATTAATACCCTTAATTTCGCTCATTTTTGTGTGTACACTGATTAGTGAAATTCTGTCGAATAAAATGCCCCCGGAGTACACCATCAAGGCGTTCAGCTTTTTCGACGCTTTCCCCAGTTTCCAGCTCCGCGCGTTCCCTTCCTTCCTTAGAGCAAAACAACTCTTATTTATAGTTTTGCATGAGCACAAGGCTCACAAACTTACTTTCCTGCAACATGGATCACCGTGTCTGGAGTTGCTGCCAGACCGCAACGAACCGGTATATCGAGCATCGCCGTTAATACGAATCTGCCGTTTCGATCAGCCCCAGCTGAAAGAGGAAGCTCTCCGGAAACACCGCTGCCCCTCCTTCCCCAGTGCCCTTTCTGATTTAATGTAGTGGCCAGTGCATGATGAAAGGAGGGGCGTTGAGATGCGCTGGTGTGGGTGCCGGTGTGCCCTATGCGACGCAGCTAAAACTCTATGCCAAAACAAATTATCGTTCAAAGCGAACAAAATGGCATTTTCGGCCACTCAGTGTCTTTACGTGGTAGCTTCGCCGCTGTCGGACGAATGACGGCGGCTTTGCATGTAGCCGATTGGGTTGCCATATCCCATGGCATCTTTCTGTTCTTGGTAGTCGTCCCTAACATGCTTTTTCGCGTCAAGTGTCTTCACCTCGCTTGTGTTTCCTGGACCCCCCATTCCTGCGGCTGCCTCAGATTCGCGGCACTGCAGCGGAATAAGCACGCCTGGCTCGCGTAGGAACCTGTGGAGCTGCATGATCCTCAGGCCCAGCATACTGGCAACAGCAGCCGCAAGAAACAGCAGAGAGACTTGTGTCACGCATATCCTTCGGAGGATCGCATTTTGGGCAAAGGCTTCGAAACCGCGTACGGCCGTGGACCGAGAAACGGCGACAACAATCCCAAAGCAGAACGACAATAGGGCTGTTAAAAAGTAAGAAGGAGCTCTTCGGTCGAATTGAGCAAATGCCGAACAAAAGAAGCAAAAAAGCGAGCACAGTCCGCCAGCGGGATTTTCAAAAGCAAAGTTCGCAAGCACATACACACCATGCATGCCAGTGAGCGCTGAAAAGATCTCTCTCCAGCATTTAACTCTTGCGAAAGCATCCTCAGCAATTTGCGACGCTTCCTGTCCTGCATCGGCTGATTTTTGCCACCACTTGTGCGCGCGCGCGTTATGAAGCCGAAACGCAGTATCGGGTTCTGCCTCCTGCCGCTTTTCTTGCTGATCCTCCCGTTTGGGCGGCCCCTCGCTGATATCAATCGATACGAATTGCCTGAATTGGCCCTGCGTATTCCTCTGTTGAGGGGAAAGATTTGAATAGTGATCTTCTGAGGCATGGTCGGGTATCCCTCTAGGGCTTACGGCGCCACAGTCGCTTTCCATTTCGAGCTGACGACTCGCTAGAGGATTATGTGCTAGGTGAGAGGCTTCCCTGGTGACTACGGCCAGAGGAGAGTTCCCTGGTGAGTTACCAAGCACACCTGCAACGGCCGTTCCACCGACAGAAAAACGCATCAAGTGCTCCTTGGCTTGATACTCGAACGGAGCGACACCTGATGATGCACCGAAAGTTTTTTCAGCTTGTTCTGTCAGAGAAAAGCTGCGAGAATATTCTAGCTCATGGCATAGGACGTTGGCAGCATGATGGTCCGGCCCATTATGGCCGAAGGGGGACGCCATGCTCTCTGCCGTCTTTGTGGTCGTAATCCGACGGGGTGAAAATTCTGTCGGGATTAGAAAATTAAGTTAATAGGATAAAAGAGGGAGATACCGAATGAATGAAGAAAAGGGCGCAGTGCACATCTTTGGGGCTTTACTCCGTCGGTGGCCTTAGGTGGTCCGTTGAGTCTGTAGTGGCAGAGGGCTGCAATGCAGATCCTGTGTAGTTCGGCGATTATTTTTTATTTGCCCGTTTCAAATTCTCCCAAACTTTACTTATTTAAGAGCTGAAGGTTGACACAACTAAAAGCACATGCCTCATGCGTATTTCAGCTTATTTTGTCACCTGCTCGAGCCACAGCAAAGTCGGTCCATTCCTCCACACAAAAGGAGACTTAGAGAAGCCCTCCGTCACTTTCACAGCATTAGATCCTACCCAAAAAATAAAATAGGGTTTTAAATAGGAACTATAGCTCAGCTCTGGCTACATACTGCCTCATTTTATAATTGGGGAATTCTTCTGTACCTGAAGAGACAACCCATTAGGGACTACAGTTTCTGTGTTCTGCGTCGCATGGCGCGCCTCTTAAGCACCCTCACAGTTGCATAGCACAGCGATTGAAATCTGGTTTGTTTGCTGCTTTACCCCAGAATATCATGCGTTTAGCTTCCTGGTAAACGGTGCAAAAGTGCAAGCGCAGCAAGACGAGCCCGTCCGAGGGAAAGGTCCGAAGAAAACCAACAGCTCAAGAAAATAATACCTACTCAGTGGTGCCGTGCAGTCGTTTCACTGTGTCAAAAAGCTGTAGGTGGATACCAACAGCTAATCAAGGGCCTAAATCTTCACACCACTTGTACATCCATTCGTGTTCAAGTGCACCAAATGGGCATAGTAACCCGGAATTCGAGATATATGTGAACCGGCTGGGGGCCATGGAAACGGACATATGCAGGAAACTTTTGCCTCTTATCATTCCAACGCAGTTTTCTTTGGACCGGCGTACCTAAAGCTGCTCAGGCTACACTTGGTCACTTCCTACTGCAGTAGCAAAACACAATTAAGAGTTTAATTGAGAATTGGTTCATTCATTTATGTATTCTTATATCCTGCTTGCTGCCGAGTTTGGATTTATCGGGTATGCTGCATTTAATCACTTTTCGATTTCACCAGCATACTTGGCGAAGAATCAAAAAGAAAACTAGTATATTTGTTTGTTCGCATACCAAATCTGCCGAAGCGTACTGCTACCTCAATACAAAACGACGCAATGGTGTTTGCTTGAGAGCTAGATGCTATGTGTAGGTAGCTCCAAATTCTTAGAATTCTTAGAGAGTGCGGCTAAGCGCTTCGTAGCTATCCCTCTCTGCCCTTAGGTCAGAAAGTCAGATGGGTGCGATCAAGGGAAGGCTGGATATTTCATGAGAATCACTGAATAACATTCTGTCAAGTTTGCATTGTGCCTGGAGTTACGTGTCCCTCGACGGAGACTTTTGGCGGAGCTTTACATGAGGTGGCTAGCTCAATAGCGTAAGGATGAGGGTTGCATAATAGTGGGCAACGTCCCATGTGCAATCATGAGCGAATGCTCTGTATATGCAGATTGCCTAGCAACAAGCACCTTGACTGTTCCTCCTTCACCCATGGCGCAACCCTGTGGGGGATGAGGGCAACGAATAGAGCACTTGTGAGGAATTTCCCCTCAACTTTTGATGAAGTAACGCTATTGGTTTGGTGGTTAAAAGTGTCTCCTTTAGAAGACTCTAACAGCGAAAAATTGGATACTCAATGCTGCTCTCTCAGAGAGGAACTTGGTTGCGTGCCTTGAATCCAAAACACATAAGATAAAAATTTTAAGTTTGCAAAAAAGGTATCTGCGGGGATATAGGTATATCGGAAAGGGGCAAATCCCCTGGCGGTGTTCGCGTGCTTCATCTGTGGCCAGATAACCCCGGCAGGCGGATCTCTTGAACGGTCCTAGTCAGCCCACAAATCGCGGGCACGCCTTGACGTCAAGGAGTTGCCACAATGGGTTTGAAAAAAAAAATTCCCATGACAAAGTTTTGACAGCACGCGCTCACTCATGCCCAGCATTCAAAAGAAATATCGTCTGAACCAATCTCGACCCCGCTCGGGGCCGGGGTGCACAATCCCATTGTTTGAGGAACCACGCTGGGAGACCTCCGCGTCCTGCATCAGGCGGAGAAGAGGTCATTTTGAAAGGGACAGGGTATGCAGCGCCACCTGTGAACCACGACGCTCTTCATATTCTGTGAGAAGAAGAAGGTGATTCGTCCACATCAGGTGCCGCTGCGCAAATACGGTTGCACTCCGAGCCGCGAGCATCAGCAGCAACAACCTGTTGCCCTCTGTGGCGTGCACGGTCTTGTTGCTGGCGATGTTGTTCCAAATTAAACATCATTCTGATGAGCTCTGTAATAGCTCCAAGCACAGCGGGGCAAAGAAACGCTGAACGAGCAGCCGGCACTCGAAGGGCATACTGGCCGGCTAAGGCCACTTGGGTACACTCCAGGGCACAGCAGGGCAGCGCAAAAACATTCGGCTGCTCCATGCACTATTGAACTGTACTTGTACCCTTGTAGCGAGGTGTATGCTGAAGAAAAACAGATAAAGACGGCACAACGGAGGATCTGAAAATCCTCGGCTGCCTTTATACTCCACGGTTGAAGATCACATGCGTCACGGGAGTCCCGTCGGAGTCCTTAAGATCATGAAATTGCGGCTCCAACTCCGAAGCCGCAATTTTGACGGTAGAGGGAAATATGCCGACAGCCATGGGAAGCCCCACGTTGAGGCAGCCATAGATAACTGAGAGCTGCGTGAGGACCTGAAAATATGGGCAGAAAACCAATAGTCACGCTGGTGCAATGCAGCGCTCGAAAGGCAAGTACGAGAGTAGGTGTATGCACAGTGTGTCTCCCAGGGGACAGCATTGGCCAGTGAGCTGTGCAAGAATGCAAGGCAGACGCACCCTCAGAAAGGCGTTGGATTGTGTCACCGGGAGCGCCATACTAAAAAAAGAAATGACTGGACTTGGAAACAACAGAACCGGAATCGGCAGCACTGCAAACCAGTCATCCAGACACGCATATCAGAAACGACACACTGTCCACCCTGTCTAGGCCTCGCTCTGGCAAGAAGCGGAGCGCTACAACGCTGTAGAACGCATTTAATATAGAGGCGTGGATTACTGGGGGACCTCCCGCCTAGCCAGCATACAGCTCAATGGAAGAAGGGAAGAAAGACGAGCCAGACGCCTAAATATATATATATATATATATACATATATGGAGAGAGACAGAGAGGGGAGCATGAGCCAGTTCAAGCATGTGGAGCGACAAGGGCACGCGAAAAGCTGTGGAGAACAGGAACACTTCGTACCAAATCTTGAGACCGCTGTTTGCATAACGGCCTCAAAACCTGCCCGTTTAGAGACACCTAGAGGCCTTCCACTCTCTGAGAAGACGGGAATGCCCTGAAGCAGCCAAGAGCAAAGCACATAGGAAGGTGACGTGTGCCTAGTTCAGGGGGTTGGATCCTTAGAAAAGGTGACTCTGGAAATGCAGGCACGCAGTACCAGCTGCGAAAAGGTTGCAGCAGCTTTGGAAATACTGCTCTACGCTACAGGGTCCTTTACTGTTGCGCTGCCGTTGTGCTTATCACTGCAGTGACGGCAAAGCGCTCAACCCCTGTGCGCTGCTTTCAAGGCCTCACAGAGATGCATTCGTGACCTCTCATTAAAAATACATTCGCCACGTTAGCCCCAGCAACAGCCGTGAAAGGAATAGTTCCCTGCAGGATTCTTTGCACCCATGGTCGAGCATTGAGATTCTTGAGCCAGCAATTAAGGCCCACCGCAAGTCCCACCGAGACAAAGACCGCCGCGCTGTGCCAAGCCGCAGAAACGCAAAGAAATAATCAAAGGACGCTGGTGCACGAGGAAAAGCGGGTGCCTGACACCCCAACGCAGCCTTTTTTCCCCTTTGGCCATTAGCCGCCGGATACATGCGCATGCGCGAAGTCAGGCTGGGTAGATATCCTAAGAAATGCACATTTGACAGAAGTCTCGTGTGCCCTCCATAGCGACAATCAAGCACTGTAATGCTTGGCCTACAGGAACACGTGTTAAAGCCCGCTAGGTTTAGTCCAGACACCTGTACAGGGTGCCACATCCCTCAGCTCGACACAAGTGGCAGCTAGACGCTTCCTGAAGGCTGCCTCAGGCTGGAACGTGTGATTAGCCCTTTTAGAAGCTACGGTTTAAGCCCTGACGTGCAAGGAACAGTGCTCAGCTTTTGCGTGCCTGTAGCCCTTGAGGACGTCTGTCTTTTTCTCTTCCTTCTGCTTCTCGTCGTCTAGCCGATTGCCGTTGGCGTAGTTGAAAGCGGCGTTGTATGTCTGGTTAACCCACTGCCAGAACACGCTGTTCGCAGCTGTGGGAGCCGTAAGGAGCATTCCTGAGTCCACAAATATAAGCGATGCACACGGAAAGGGATAGATTATACGGATTTTCCTCGGTTGCCCACGGCATTTACAGCGAATGAGAACATGGGCATTTTAGGGCTCGTGCTGCCCCAAAATCGACAGGTCTGTACAGCACGCAGCCCATAATACCTGCACAAATGGGAATGTTGACAGGGGCAAAAGCCGCAAGCCGAAAGAGGGGATGCAGCACGTTGCCGTTGCTGTGGTTCACAGAGGCGTCACGAAGGAGAACTTTTGATTGCAGCATTTCTTCCGTAACCCCCCGGGAGCGCAGTGCGCTCCAATTGCCAGCGTCGGCTAGCGCAGCGACCTCCTTGGCACTTTCTATTTCTGTTCTTGTCGCGAAGAGCAGAAGCGGGTTCATGCGCTGCTGAAAGGACCGCACTCTTCCCCAGTATGTATCGAGGGAATGTGCTTTCGCCTGCATCGGCGCGTCCTCAGACATCGTCGGGTCTGTCTTTGCCATTTCAGTTGTTTCAGAGGCCGTTTTCAAGCTGTGCATCTGTCAGGCCTGCAGACTGACCACCTGCGGCGACCGCGGGTTCTAGGGGATCACTGTACACTAAAAGTAAGGGCAAAGGTGGTGATTCAAGCAGCTAGCCGCTAGCTAGTGGTTTTAAAAAGCTATCATGGTTCGTTAATGCGCCCCCAAATGCTCCAGTTGTAAGGGTGGAGGCGAGATCGGCCTACCGCGAGACCGCAAAGAGACTGCGCACACTCCGTAGACTCCGGAGAAAGGGATAAACCATGAAGGAGCTTGTGCGCGCTTGCCAACACATGGAACAATCCAATCAAATTTGTTGGAAACAGAGTGGCAGTCATGCAGTCCCCAACTTGAACTGCTTGTTCGTGGCTGTCGCAGAGTCGGGGCTGTTGCGAGAGTGTTGCCGCTGCCGTCCCAGCACCGGCTTGGCAGCTGGCAGAGTCCGAACCGTAAGCCGGGCTTGGATATTGCAGCTATCACAGATCTGAAAGCCCACAGAAAGGAAATAACACGTATATGCAGGCCACGGCAAAAGGAACTGCACTGCGCCGCTGTCTGCCTGGGTTTTCCCCTACATCCTCTAACCCTCAACCAAGATGTTTTGGTCAGCCGCTCTCCAATGCGACCCAAACTCGGTCTTCTTTGGGTTCATGGGTATTACCTCAGCCATCGTTTTTGCGAGTACGTCTAAGCGTCAATTCGTGCGGTTTAGCGGGCAACAGCCATGAAGGGGGTCTGCTCACTTACCTCTGTGGGCTAGAGGCCTGCACCCGTGTTGCAGTCTGCTTATTTCTCCGTCCCTCTCTTCCCTTCATGCATATCCCTTTGGTTTTTCTTCGAAAATTACGGCGAGCGCAGCCATAGTCTCTGCTGGCAGCTCGGGGCAGCACAGTTTGCGGCCCATGGGACTAGAGTCCTGGGACACCCTAAAGAGAGTCGCCTGCTGCACGCGGAGAGGTGTTGGCCAAATCGCTCCGGGGGGTTGTGTGTGTCTTCTCTTTTCCATGGAGCGTTGGTAACGAACTCAGAATGTAAATGGGGAAAAGGCTGTGGCTGCGGGAAAGAGCTCGCCGTGATAGTCAGTGACTCTTCATGCTATAACCTAGTGCTCCAATCATGAGGTGCGAATTGTGACTGTGAGTTGGTCTCGCAGATCTGGGGGCAGCCTATGGAACTGCAAAGAGCGGCGTTGGTGTCAGCAGCGTTGGTGTGATGCGCCCTGATCTAATCATGCGTTCAATTCTACCCGTTATCATGGCTGGTATCTTGGGTATCTACGGCCTCATTATCTCCATTGTCATTTCGTCCGTTAGTAAGCGGCCCGCACTTTCTTCCTTGTAGCCAAGAAGCCGACAATTCTCGGCATTCCACTCACGTAGGTTCGCGTTTTTGGAGCGCTTGGGATTTGTGCCTCTGCATTTCTCATTGTTTTTTTTCATGGGATGTGCGTCTTTCTCTTGCTTTTCATCAGTGGGATCGCCAGACGTTTACTCGGCATACGCAGGTAAGCTTTGCAGTGATCATTGGAAGCCCCTGTATTTTCAGGTCCCATGTAGGGTTTTACTTGCATCCGCGTGTGGCGACTGTAGTGGGGATTGTTTTCAAGTATGGCGTGATGACCTCTGCCTCAGGCTACGGACACTTGGCTGGTGGTCTGGCAGTAGGTCTGAGCTCTCTGGCGGCAGGTCTTGCAATTGGAATTGTTGGCGATGCTGGTACGTCTTGATGTCCTGTTCAGTTTTATCATCAATGCAAGGTGTCGGCTATTGTGCTTAATTTATCCCGTGAATAAGTGTTGGTTTGAGAGACCTGGTACTGAGGTTTTTATGCTTTTCAGGTGTGCGGGCAAATGCCCAGCAGCCGAAGTTGTTCTTTGGTGTGACCCTCATTCTCATTTTCGCCGAAGCTATTGGGCTTTATGGTAAGTCTTGTATTTATCGTATGCTTAGAGTGTTGTTAGATGACGCATGGGATTACCCTCGGAAAGTGACTAGCACCCTTTTTCTGGCTCGTAACTTTGGTTCATTCCCTTGCTGGTTGTATTCTGCTCATGCTTTCAGGTCTGATTATTGCACTGGTCATCGTCACAAGGAAAGTAGACGGCCTCTGCACGAGCTACAAGTCATAAGAGTGCAAAACGAATGTTGCAAGGCAATTTGGAGGGCTTGCCTTCCAAATCGCCTCATCCAGCACTGGCCCGTGCTGCTGGCACTGTCATCTTCAAGCATAGCATAGGCATGGATGTGGATTGAAGTGTTTCGGTTTACTGTTTAATTTCTCTTGCGAATTACCTGAGCCTGCAGAGAAGTTTGTTCGGACTCTGCGAAAGGCCGTGCGAGCTGTCAACGGTAGTGGCGATTAATGGGGCGAGTGGCAACACGCCACATCCTTAACAGCTGCAGTGCTGGGCGTTGTGCTGCGCCGCTTCGGGGGCAAGACAACGTCCCCGAATGTGACTTACTTTGTGGGCTGTGCTTTAACTAGTTTCTGTCTACGATGCACATTGCGGGTGGCTGCGTGTCACGATACTGTTGTCCCATCACTATTGCACGGCAGGTCCAGTTGAACAAGCAGTGAATCAGTAGAGTAAATCACATCTAATTAGACGTGAAAGCGCCCGCTCAAACGTGAATGCCATCCGTAGAAAATGTAGATATGCACGGTTGTGGGATTCTACTACCGCAAGATTCAAGAGCCTTAAATTCTCGATTAACGGCACCATGTCGTCTTGAGACTGCTATGCAATTTGAAGCATTACTGAATGAGGGCCACACGTTTGCTTATCCCAGTGCACACTCACCCAGTGACACTCGCCCGTGAGGCGATTCACGAAGCCTGGGGCTGGGACATTCTTGCTCAATTTCGTCCCTCGCCGTCGGGTTCCTATTGATTTCATTGTGGGTCGCTGTATCACGAAATCTCTTTTCATGTGGCAACTGGATTCCATGCCTTAAACGTTCTCACTGCCTTCTCATATTAGTTGACATCGCGAATCGAAACGTGCTAAATAGTGTCTACGCACTATCAGGGGGCTGCTGCGAGGACTCACCAATGCTAGTGCAGCACGGAAGTCGAAATATAGCATGTGAACGGATCCCTGAGGCTCAATTATCAAGTCTTTATCTAGCACCCGAGTTTCGAAGTTTTAAGTGCCCTTCTCCAACCTTCGGGAACTGATGGTTCGTGCGCTGTGATGGAGGCACAGGTAGAAGAGCCTTTTCATTCCATATACCCTTTGCTCGGGACGATTGTTTTGTATGTTGTGCACTCTATGGGAGGCACACCAAAGAAGCCGTCAACTCGCCCGTCAGTGCCTGCAGATCCGAAGGCAGCACGGTGGGGAAGAAGACAAATAAGAGTAATACATGCAATAATACTAAAAGCTATCTACCTAGGTAAAGCTCTACGGGAGCTGTGGTCACATAAACAGAATGTGCAAGTTCCCCTGCAAGTGCTGTCCACGAATCCCCGACTTTAAATGGCGCATTCCGGCCAAGACCTCACTTTGTATGGCAATCGATTAGGGGCTTATCACTGATCAACAGATTACGTTGACCCAAATAGGCGTACTTTGTGTATCATCACCGCAACAATCGCCGTTGTAACGCCCCTGACCGCGTGCCCTAATGGCTGCCAGGCTTACCAAGGCTCTCTCGTCTTTTACCATTTGAATGTGAATATCCACATGGAGTGATAAAGTCTGGATGTCCCACCAGTTGCATAATTTGGGGTCAAACCGGCGTGGAGGTCTTCTGACTGCTGAGCGCAGAGAAGATGGCGGCCTTTATGCTTATGTGTGAGGCAAAGTAAGTATGATTTCGCCTGTAGGCAAGCCTCAAGTCTCATGGCTTTTTCCATTCTGTGCCAAGGTGCTAGCAAGAGAAGACAATGAGGGCACGCCGCCCTTCACAGGCACCAAAGCAACGACTACCCTTCTCCCCTACTGCTACCCCCTCATCGGCAAATGCCATGGCATGTGCACGGCCATATACCGCTCGTTGGCCATCCTGCCATTATCAGAGGGGCCACAGTGTTGAAAAAGTAGCGAATCTTCTCACACTGCAGCAACAGCAGAGGTTCATGCGATTAACCTAAAAGCGCAACACCCATGCCCACTTTTAAATCTATCTAAAAGGGCAGCGGAATACCTGGTGGTGCGTTTTCTCTGCCCCAGCCTGCCGATAGAGTTTCAAAAAAAAGCATCTACATATCAGGAAGGTGACTGGGCTTCTTTGCCGCCTGATGGATCTTCCTCCTTGCAATATGGATACTTAGCAGATACAGTGGTTGCACCGCTTGGGTTCCACATCCCCAGTAACAAACATCGGGTTGCAAAGAAAGCATTACCCATGCAGAGATAAAGCACTGCTTCTAAAATATCAAAACGTGTATGCCCTAAGTCGCGGCCTGTATACACCGTCGCGGGGTTTGTCTCAGCTGACAGACGTCGATACAACTTTTGCCGCAGATGCCCTGCACTTTCAAGTTTCCGAACCTTGGAAATTCTGTGCTTTTTTCGCCAACAGTCAAGTGTGTGAGGCATTAGGAGCAAACTACAGTTGCTGGCGAAAAGCATGCCTCTTAGCCATGCGAGGGGAAAACAGCGGCCTACTGTGCCGCGTAGTTCCTCCCATTTATGGATTGCGAGTTGATGGTGACTCTAGGAAAAACGAGATGAGCAGGTATGAGTAAAGGAAGACAAAGGCAGCATATGCAGGTACAGGGACGGTGCGATAAAAAGCACGTTGAAGGACAACAGATGCAGAGAGCTAGAAGGGACTCAGGCTTCTTGTGCTCTCCAAGTTACTTCCACCTGATCCGTGCGGAACCTTTGCCTGTAGAAACTCTGGGTAGGGAGGATAGTCTGGCCGCACTTATACATCAACAGCCCCACATAGGCAATCATCGCGCCGTTATCGATGCAATAGCGCTCATCCATTCCGCCCATTGAACACCCACGGCGCCTCGCCATCTCGCGGAGCATCTCCTGAAGCCGCATGTTGCAGCCTACGCCGCCTACCACCTGCAAGCAACAGAACTGCAGCAAACCAGCTGGACATGCCCCTCAGACTTCAGTTTCTAAGCTGTGCTATCATGGGATAAATCTCAAGGGTCGCTATTGCTGTAAGAGACCGCTTCAAGCGTCTACGCGCTGTATTCATTAGAGCTAGGAGTGTGGATCCGAGTGCATTTAAGATGCAACGCAAGCTAAGCCGGATATCTAGCCCGTAGTGTACAAGTCAGCATCCCCCACCAAAACATCCGTGCTGTGGCAAAGCGCCATGGCACGCTCGGTGATCTCAACAAGCATTCCAAAGAGGTATTCTTGCAGGGAGTAGCATATCGCCTCAGGTGTCAGCAGCTCCGCAGGAATGGAGCTCTCAGTCGCCCCTTCGCTCGGGCTGCCGCTGATTTTCCCTGCGCTACGCTTGGTGCGCACACGTCTCGCAATATCGCCGGCAATGTGCAGACACCCATTACTGGACGCGGCACTCTGGAGACTTTGCTTTGCTTGGGCGAGCGACCCGAGGGTAGCGGAGTCTTGTGTCTTCGCCTCTCTGGTCTGGCGTTCATGCATTGCATGGATAGCTTCCTCCGCCTTTGTCAGCACCCCACTAAATGCAATATCCATGCCTTTGACATTGTAGCTGAGGGGTATAAGCGGGGTGGCCTGTATCTCAGGGTGTTTCGCACGGTATTCGATATCGAACTTGCGAGCCATTTGCTCGACCTGGTAGCCTGGGGCGGGGTCGTTTGGAAGATGCAGGAGACGCGCCACTCTGTCGATGCAGTTGCCAATGGCCATGTCCAAGGTTTCCCCAAGAATTCGATAGCGCGAGTCGCTGTAGCCGATTACTTGGGTGTTGCCCCCAGACACATACAGTACTGTTGGATTCCGGCACCCTGTCACCAAACGACCCATTTCGATGTGGGCTATGCAGTGATTCACAGGAACAAGCGGCTTGCTCCAGAGAAGAGCTAAAGTTCTGGCGGCAAGGGCTCCAACTGCCAAGGGGGCGCCCATCCCTGGGCCCGCCGTATAAGCTATGCATGTGATAGTCTCAGAAGTAACACCGGCCTCGGTCATGGCCTTCTGGATAAGCTTAGTGACATTTGCCTGATGGTGTGCGGCAGTTTCCCGAGGGAGGAAGCCTGTTCCGGGAGGGGTGATAAATGTTGCTCTAGGATTCGCAAGAACAGCACCGGAGTTGTCCACTATGCCGACCCCTACTTTATTTGCGCTGCTCTCTATGCCCAGCACAACAATTCGTCCATTTGCTACCTCCGCTGGGATTCTATGTTGCTGAGGGAACGGGTCCCCGGAGGCGGTAGCAGACGTCATTGCTAACAGCGATTTAGGCTTGGCGCCGCATATCCATATCCAACCATGAATTCGACGTAAAACCCACAGGTTATACAAACTACGCTTCAAACAAACAAACGAGCTGTTTCGGGACCGTGTGTCCAGGTGTAAGGGGAGGATCCCGAAGGGCCAAATCCTGAAAAGTGCTCAGGAGCCAAGGACCGCGGAAATACTCAAGATTTCATGATATCCGTCAATGCAGGCGGACGAAGCAGGTAGGGGCCCTCAGTTCAACGAACGCCAATGCCGCCGTAGTGGGGCCTACGCGAGAAATTACATCTTTTTTTAGGACATAAGGCGGATGTCCAACGTAGCATCCCCAAGACAATTTAGTGTTAAATCATGGATACAATTGCGGAAAACCAAAAATAATGACCAGCGTCTAGCTTTAATGTTATGTAATCAGCGTCTACCGGCATCCCATATAGTCTAGGTGGTTAGGATACTCGGCTTTCACCCGAGCGACCCGGGTTCGAGTCCCGGTGTGGGAAGCTTTTGTTCCATGTACAACATGGCTTTGCCATATTGTTGAAGTCTTTTACGCCTCCAGTATTCTTCTGGGAACATTACTAATTTGAAGTGATATTGCTTTCTGCACTCTTTGGCCTGAGTGTAGAGTGCAATTACACCAGCATAATCCTTGCTGTGTCCTCGGAATGTTTGAAGCTCATAAGGTGATCATTCTCCCAGCTCTTCAGGATACTGAGCAGCAGTGTTCTATTCAATTTCCTGTTGAAAGACTGCTAGGAAAGCCATGCTGTGCTCGTCGTGCAGCAGACCGTGTCAGCGTGTCTCAAGAGCCCTTGGCTGGATCGATAGCGGCTTAAAGTATCCATCTACGCCTGAAATTACGTTTTCTAAAATCCAAGTGCGGCTATGAAAAACCATCCATGAAGCTTCTGGTAGAAGAAGGACTCCAGGACATTACGGCTTAAAGTACAATTTATGCATGCACTCCTTTGATATGAGCTATCTCTTTCTGGGAAATTGCATGCTCACCAGTAAAAAAGTGCTACCGATAAAAGAGGCTGGCATTCAGTGGCCTTGTATACTGCTGAGCGCCCTTCCGGGCACAGATTTGTACGTCCAGCATTCATTGCTTATAGCACGTCACATCCGCTGTAGAGCAGCAGAAGAGCATTATTGCTTTCCAAGTGAACATGTGTATAGAGAATTACAGCAATGTACATCCAACTAACTGCCACGGTGAAATGCTATGAATCATGAAGGCCTGTTTTCGCATGTAGCTCTGGCGATTCAGAAATCGGGAATCGGTACCATCGTGGTGGAAAACCTTAGATTTTCTGCCTACGCAGCTACGGAGAAACAATGCATCATCAATATTCATCTAAGTATGTTAGCAAATACTTTGGAGCATATTAGTGCAATGTTAACGAATGCCTATTGTCTGCATTCCAGTAGCTGAGTATACACCAGAAACGCATGAGGATGAACGCCTAACTTCATTCTTTTCTTTGGTAGGAAACTGCCGAACTTGAGCAATATTAACCATGCAGTACCTTATTATTGGAGCACTGTGCCTTCCAGCAAGTTTTGCGCTGGAATTTTCTGTAGTTTCCGAATCCTCTTCTCATGGTCCTCCAGGTCAGCTTGTTTATCTTTCATATTACCTGTGATACGAAGAGCCACTTCGTCTACAGGCCGCCATGGAATTGCAAGTACATCTCTGTCAGACGTTCCTTATCTCTTCGGAGGGTGCGATAAACAAGGTCCGTCACGCTGCCTAGGTGCAAGCTGGTGGCAGCACTTGGAGTGCATCAGAAGCTACATGCTAGCTGAAACTATAAGAGCATATGCCCTATATATCTACCTACGAATGGACCAAACCTTTTTTCAGATGTCTGTTCTGACGAACTTTACGCATTCCATACATCAACAAGCTCATGGGAGTACGTGTACCCCCGCGGCGACTCTCCTTCTGCAAGGGGAGGCGCCTCGCTGAACGCGGTCCGTGGCTCTTTGATCCTCTTTGGGGGAGAATCTAACGACGGAACGTACAATGACATCTACAAATTTGGTAGGATGCACACGCAGCGTTTGCGCTGAGCCATAAAACTGTACTGTGTTTTTGCCGTAGACCCAGCTTGGCGTAGGTGGTATATTGGCGTAGGACCCGAGAACTTCCGCCCTGGTAACGCAATGCATTTAAAGGAGCAGCCTTTTGCGATTTGCACCAATAAGAATGGTGAATTTCAGAGTCGCGCAGCGGCCATGCTTCTGCTTCGGACGGCGAAAAGATCTATATTTTTGGAGGTTTCAATGAAGCAAGTCACTTGTTAAGCCCTTCTCTTTCTGTAACTAATCTCGAGAGCAGTCAGGACGCTTCTTGAACGATTTATGGGTGATCGACCTTGACTCGGTGAGACTGCTTGTGCATGCTCTTCAATTGCAACCAGTGACTAATATTCACTACTTATTAGGATCTACCTAACGTTGGTTCCGAGCAATTCCCAGTCCGTTTTCACGCGATCTCCCGCAGTAAGAAAATGCAAGTAGATTATTGGATTTCCCTGCGCGCAGTGTGGGCGGTAACAGGTACTGGGGATGTACCACCAGCCCGAGAGGGAGCTACACTAACGTACGTTAATGGACATCTATTCCTGTTCGGCGGTTACAGCGCAGAGGGTATGTGGAATAATTTGCACGCGCAAGTGCATGCACTGTCCTATGAATCCTACAGGCTTACGTGCAAATGACTTGTGAGCCCAAATAGGAGGCATGGTCTGCTTACGCAGCGAATAAATCACTCGCAGATGGGTATACAATTTGGCGGAAGACAAATGGCTTCGAGCGCCTATCAGAGGCCGACAGCCTCAACCTAGAGAGGGTGAGTGCGAACAATCAAAGGAAATTTTGTCCCAAGCAAACAGTGGTGCGTCTCACAGGCCACAGTGCAGTGAGGAACGGAAGCGATGTAAGCTGAGGCACGTGGCGGTTCCGCAATTCACAATCTAACCTGAAGGAACTCTAGATAATAATTGCCGGAGGATGCGACTCACGACGGACTGTCCGGAGGTGCTACAAGTAAGTGCTTCTCCTTAGTCACGAGAGACAGTCTGCATCCGCTTCCATTCCTACTGCTGCAGCGACGTTTGGCGCCTCGATGCAAGAAGCTACACATGGACACTTCTCTCTGCTGGCGACCCAAAGTTTGCGCCTCGTGAACGGCATGGAGCAGTTATCTTAAGCGGTGCGGACATGTGCACGCGTCTATGTTTCAACAATCATTCCAAGGCTACCTTTCACACTAGGAGGGAAAGTGCTGATCTTCTGCGGGGGAAAGTTGGGGGCCATGGACTATACGGACGTCGTATCTTTCAATGTAACGGTAAGTTTTGCTTTATTAGAGTTTCAAACAAATACAGAGTGGTCGCAATTTTCATGGCCTGCAGCCGTGCGGAGGGGGAGGTGTCTGTTCTGGCAGGGGAACTTGCGCTGGCGCCTCATGTACTTGCCAACCTGGATGGAGTTCCCATGACTGTGGAGAGGTTTGCTCTTGCTTGCTTTAGCGGGTGCCGTGGAGTACATCTTTGAATATTTTGCATTTCAGGTGTTGGAATGCCCTGCGAAGTGCAACTTTTCTGGCGTCTGCCTCTCCGGAGCTTGCAAATGTTTCCCTGGATTTCATGGAAACTCCTGCTATCGCGTCTGTCTCTGATTTGCTTCATGGTGCCCTGCAAACTACAACAAAGTTCATGTTTCAGGTGCTATGCCCAGGGTCAGGACTCAATGGAATGTGCAACGGTCAGGGCGAGTGTCAGCCCTCTGGAGCCTGTTTGTGCAAGTAAAAATATTTCTTAACATATTTTTCCTAGTTCCCAGCCACCATCAATGCCATTTACAGACCCGGGTACAAGGGTAGGCCCACTGAAACGCACGAAGTAGGCCTGCGGCATATTCAACGTCCTCTATAGGTGTGGGATGTGAGATCGACATCTTGGGTGCAGAGGAACGGGCTAGGAGAGCACAGGGGGCGAAGCGGCTACCTCACGAGCACCCGACACCGGATCTCTCCGCTCTTATGAATTCAGACCTTAGAGAGCAGAGTACGCTGTGTCAGTGGATTCGCTGCTGCTTGAAAAATATGCTTTGGTGGCCGAATGCGTTTTCCCTACTCGTGTGTTCGTGATTTCGATTATCCCCAATATCCTCATTTTTCAGCAATGGCGATTTGGAGGGATATTGTTCGAGAAGCAGGAGGGGTAAGGTCAACAAGCATGGAAATCCTAGGACGCCCACAAAGGCGTATACTTCAGAGCTTGCCTCCCGCTGGCCAAATCGGAGAGTTGCGTGGCTCTGCTTCCGTTGAAGGATTTGGTAAGGCAGCTGACTCTAGGGAAGGTGGCCTTAACCCCAGCCAACGGACGTGCTTCTCTATCATGGATAACATTCATCGCCCACAGCTTCAGGAGGACCTCTCCACTGGAGCCTCAACTGGCCTGAGGCCAAACTGCCATGTACGTCATTTAATTTCTTATGCTCTGAGTATTTGCCTATTAAAGAATGTAATCCCAGCCGTAGCGGAGATCAAAGAAGCACTACAAGCGTTGACAGACGAACTGCAGGAAGGATTGCCATCCATTTCTGGCTCTGTAAGAGCTGCGATGGCGCCTGTATCCCTTGCCGTCGGGCTCGGCACACTCTACGGAATGTACAGAGTCAACAGATCCAGACTCTAACGGCTTTGTATAATTTGATGGAAGAAATTATAGCGAGTATTCTCCGCTGTTCCACAGGTTTTGCGCTCCTCTAACTCGCGTTTTAGGGTAACAAATACCTTACTAAGCAGAGGTCAGAGGGGAGAAAACACAATTCCACGTCCGATAGAGACTTTTAGAAGGATGGAAGGGCAAGAAATAAAGTGCACAAAGCATGGGTGCGAAAAGAAATTCTTAATGTTGCCGATAATGCGGTCAGTCCTTAATGGGCACAAGTTGCCAGTGTCTAGGGGGATGCTGTGCCAAGTGGCATGGAGCAGATTGAGGAAAACTGTTTGGCTAAGCACTGATGGCTGGCCAGCAGCAAAATAGGCAGACCTTACCCTATTAAAAACACTGAGCGCAGAGCCGACACGCTCTTGCAGACAGAGATTTCGCATACCGTGGCAGCCAGTGTGTCTAGGATATATGAACCAGGCTAATGGCACAGCCACAGGCAAGGGCCACCTCGTCGTTCGCATATGATGTAATGGATATTGGACTGGCGCAGGTGCCTCCTGGGGTTCTTGGTAGATCAGGGTGGATATTGTAGTGCGCTACCCACGTCAAGCGCAGCTCTGCCACCTCCAGTAATAGCATGTCGCCACCTGCGTTACCACCAGAGCCATCATAAGCCTGTGTTTGAATACTCACAGAACAAAGAGTTTGCCTTGGCGTTTGGCGTAAAGAAGGCGCTGGGTGTGACGTAGCTCAGCCTTCGCCGTGAGTGAACGTACTCTCTGTGACCATGATGGCGGCGTCTTCTCGCGGGCAACAAATTGATGAAATGGCTATGGGTCCAGTCATTCGAAACTTGAGGATACCAAGATCGTTACAGAGGTTCAAATTGCGCGTCACCTACGCATCGCACACGGGCCTGCAACACGTCATCGTTCTAGAATGCTCGTTTGTGCCTTGGACTGCCACGTGGCTGACATGAGAACACGGACTTGAAACGGGAAAAGCTGAGTCGTTTGGTCCCCCACCTGCTGTGATCTGCAGTCCAATACAAACAGAGAATGCCCTCTTGCAACAAGAAGGGTTTTGGAGTTGGAAAAGCAGGCACGGGAAATGGCTGGCTGATCGGAGGCGCGCAAGATGCTGTCGTTGCCCTCAGGACAAAAGCGGACACCGAAACTGCACACGAAAAGCAATGCGGCCATCTACCTGACAATGCAGTGTTTGCATGGGACTGCTAAACATCGCCGTAGAAAAACACTGATAGCTATACATCCACTAAGCAGTTGGCTCTGCGTTTAGCTCCATACACTTCATCGTTTAGCTCCACCGTTAATTAACAAGGGAACAGGTGGAAATTATAATTGAGCTCGGCAACAAAGAAACGAGGGGTGAATGCACCAAGAAGAGACGGAAAGCATCCATTTTGCGTCCGCGTTGCCCCTGATGTAAGCTCCAACTGAGCAGTAGCCCCCAGAAAGGCACCAGGCGAAGTGCACTCGAGCATCTACGGCCGACATGGCGGCCTCTGTGGCGTGCCGTTGCCCCACGAGGCTTTCCACCAAAGAAGGAATGCCTTCAGGGGAGTGGAGACCGTCTTGTGCTGAGCACCTGCAATCATGGCAAGTGGTGCAGTTGCTCCCCAAAACGAGAGGTTTCTGGAGAGTGAATGTGGACCCAAAGCACGCCAATATTGCACTTGTTATCTTTGAAACGCTCGCGTGCTTGATCCGCGGCCATGATTCTGCTCCATCATGAAATGCCAAGTCGAGGACCAAAGAGAGGAGCTCTCCGGAAGCCGTTGCCAGCAATGCGTGGCGATCTGCAGAGACTCCGGCCGCAGAGGACAGCGAAACTGCACTTAGCGTTTAAGCACATCCAGTGCTGTGTAATCGAGGAAATGTCGGAAGCAAACAATGCACGGGGAGCCACAAGATCGGCTCACCTCCAAGGCACGCTATTGCGATAAGAGGATCTTGGGGAACGACCAGCTGTAGGCGGCCAATGATGCGAAAAGCCGCTGCGTCGATCAGCCGCAGAGACCCGTCGGTGAAAGAGCCTAGGAGAAGAGTAGAGCAAAGGAATGCAAGAGCTGTACACACTTCGGGCAGCGAGAAACTCGCTAGCTGCTGGGGGAGAGGCCAGCGACTCCAAATCCTTAAGGATCCGCCTGTATCGGCAGTAGCAAGGAGAGGATCGTTGCCTTCTGACTTTGCGCGAGCTGCTCCCCAGCGCGACCTTGATGACGCGTGCATTTTTCGTGCCCCTTTTGCGCTGCCGTTAATCAGCGCTGTCGCTGCTCCCTACAACATAAAGCACTCTCGAAGCTGCTCTGATCACCTGCAGCTAATGCGTTGTCCTCCATTGTTTGCTGATCGATAAGGAAGCTTTAAAGTATATTGCCGTGAGACTCGTGCTGCCTGACCTGATGGGAGACGGCAAGGTGGCTAATGGGATGTATGTGACTTGACTGAAGACGTACTTGGGAGCGCTGCTCCCAGTGGAGGTACCTGAAGAGCCATGAGCGATCGTTGAGACTTTGAGCCGAGCTCAGGTATAGCCCCCGGGTTCCCTGTTATCTGAGCTTCCGCCATCTTTATTACGTCTCACCATATAGTGTTTTCTGTGCTTGTGGCGATTCCCTGAGCCAAAATGGAATGCAAGGATAGATTGCTTGGCCTCAGTGCCGAAGGCCGAGTAAAACACTTTAAGCAGGGGTCGCTTTATGGGCACTTGCCTCTTGTGCATCCGCATCGAGCTGTAGAGAGCTTATGGGGGCTTCAAAAAAAAGAGACTGTACGGATGGGTGCTGCCGCATATCAAGAGACTGAGGGCCCAAAGCCTGGCGCCTGCGTAGTCCTTCATAGGAAAGACATTTAATAAAATTCCAAGCTGATAAGTGCAGTATTACTGCAGCAATCTAAGTGGCTTGTCTTTGCTCGCCTTGCTTGCTGGGTTGCAAAGGCACAGATCACGCCACATGGCTGAGTTCAGAAGTAGCACTGCGCGGTACATGAGCAAACAACCAGGGTCTCAAAGCGTATCAGTATCGCACATCTCGGAAAGTCGCTGCAGGTCCACCGTGATCCTTCGAGCGGTTGAACCCGTAGCATATGCCAGATGGAGGGCGTTTCCGCAGGTTATGCAGCCTATTTCAACATGAGTACAACAACGCAAGCTGCTCTAGGGCAGGTCTATCTGACTGGATGACCTTGTCATTTTTTCAAAGAAACACAGACATCCACCCTGAGGGTGCCTCATGTGGCCTCTTCCCACCCTTGCGCTTCGTGCCTGATCATAAGTTAAGCAGGAAGTGCAAAACGTTTTGGTCCCAAAAGCTTAGAGGGCGGCCTTCCTACTAATGCAGAAGTCTCCAAGGAGGAGTTCAAAGGAAAAAACATTCGCCTCGTAGTCATAGCCGTACACATAGCCCTGCATGAATGTGGATCCAGATTTAAGAAAAGAGCGAGGATTTCCTGTGGACTATGCGTCAGGAAACAGCTAATACAGTAGGCGCAGAAATAAAGCTTCAGCTCCACTTATGCCCGTTTGCAGTGAGCCTACCGGTGCCCCGCGTTCGCATCAGATGCAGCGGTGAGGCAATCGCAGCTCACTTAACGCAACCAATATGAGGCCTACCCGGTCAGAAGCAACTAGAAGCAGTCGCGGGGTGTTTTTGCCTCTTCGGGTGAGGCAGGCGGTAGTATAATTTTCTAAGGGGTCCAACAGTAGGCGCCGCGGCTGCCGGGTGTACTGGAACTGCAGCTCAAGCGCGTCGGGTTTGCAGTCTTCTGCAAAAAAGGATGCACCGAGGGGCATTTAGCATGACTTTACTACTCAGTTGCCCCTTAAGGCCTGGAAAGCTTTCCTTATAGCAACAAACGTGCCCGAGACACAACAAGCGAAATAGCTTGTCTACCCCTGAGAAACGTGTTTCCAGCCAGAGCAACCTACTGCGGGGATCCGCCTTGCCACCTTCGGGGCTAACAATCCGCCAGAGTGTAACTGAGCGGGCACTGACAAGGACAACCTCCCGCTCATCCCTAGAAGAGGCGCTGAGGATACGTCTAAAGGTTACGTCTAGATTTGCCCCAACGGCGGCAGCTGGCCCAAGCGGAAGCTGCAGCGACAGCTCTCCTGCAGCCAAGCGGGCTCTGCAACAACACGCGCCGAGGCCCTGCCGTGCGGTGTCGCTACAGCTATGGGCTGCCTCTACAGGAGCGTTTCCTCTAGGCTGCACAGAAGAGAAGTGCCTTGGTGCAGATACAAATTCAGATGCACGCCAAACGTCCATGCGACCTCCTGCGGCACCGCCTGTAAAGGCCACGGACAGTGCGATATTCCCTTCAAGTCAGGCGCGACAAGCCATTTGCAGCTTCAAGACTCATAGGCGCGATAAATTACAGGAGCTAAACTCAAATCCAATAATCATTAGTTTTTAGAAAGCTAGGCTGCTGCACGGCCGTGCCCTCCAAGTGCGTGAAACGGCCTGAAAATACCAACAGGCCTTCATGGATGCGCTGACAAAGACTAACCGGCAGTTACAATGTAATCGGTTCCACAGAATATCACCGCAGGTAGGCCTTCTGCCGCTTGACTTGGATATATGGAATGCACTGAATCTGTTTCGAGAGAGAAGGGTCTTCCTGCTCCATAGGCGCTTGGCAAGGGAGATACCCCCAGCAACTCTCCAGAGCCCTCCGTCTTCCAAACGCAAAGGCCCCAACAGCCGCTACCTAAAGCTGCCTCACTCTCTGGAGCTTTGTTGGCAGCGCCGCAGCAGGCAGCGCTAGTACTGCAGGTGCTCTTATCAAAGCAGCAATTTGCACTGCATTTCTTGGGCGGCAACAACGCTGCAGCCACAAGCTCGCTCGAAAGCCTTGCACATGAGGCGACCAGAAATATGCACAGCATCGGCAACCGAAGTCGCTATAAAGAAATGCACGTACTAAAATGCTTGCATTCACTATTTCGAGCTTTCCCGGTGGTGAAGCAGTTAATGCTTACCGCTGATGGTGGCAGCTACGCGGGTAGTCTTGTCAAGGCAAAATGCGATTGAACGGCCAACTGCTGGATGCTTGAGAACAGCCATTCGAGGCTTGCGCAATTTCAGTCTACATTGCTGTACCAACTCTTTAGGATGCTGCTTTGCACGACGCATATGCCGTTGCGGATGCTGTGGCTGGGTGCCGTGGACTAAAGGGCCTCGTCGCATCGAGGACTCCGCCGGGGGCCCCTGTTTTTGCACGTTCGTTAGTGTCGCCCGTTCCAGAAGTGTCGGCAACAAACCAAGGCATCGACCATTCTGAGAGGCTGAATCTGTTCCAAGGCGTTCTATCAAAATCCAGCGCCCAACTGCGTAGGCTAAGACACCTGCGAATGTAATTATATTCCAATGCCATGAGCTTGTACTGTGCTGTATTGCATCCACTGATAGTATAAGCAGTTTGCAAGCCAACTACGATCTGAAAGCTGTTCTAATCAATTTATCTGCTTCTACACCGACAGAACGATAGCTGCTGTGCTGCAGAGAAGCTTATGTGGATCATGGGAATAAATAGGCACTTGTGGCTGTGCATGTCATGCGTGGTGTGTCCCCTGACCCAAAGGTTTCGTGCTAAATGACGCCTCCCTGTGGTGCGTTCATGTTGGTGAATTTCGCCCACCCTTTACCGGTCTCCATAGGCAGCCTCTGCGGCATGCCGCTACGGCTGTTCCCAGGATATGGCGCGCAGCAGCACCATGAGCAAAAATGCCCAGCTCATTGGCGAGCTCTTGCCAATCCTGAGACACCATCACGGGGCTTCCAGCCTGTGTACTGGCCTCGAAGCCTCCTTTTGTTTCAGCGGTCCTCTGAAATACTTGAACATTCGAGAGATTCCCGGATTTCACTGACGCTTCTTCGCCTTCGACTAACACTTCTTCTCTACCCGTGTCCTTGTTGGGTGGTGTGACGTCAACAGCGGTGGTTGACGTCGCTACAAGTGGTCCGTTCTCTGTATGGACAGCTGCGATCTCCGCTATTGTGCCAGCTTCCCTTTTCAATGCCTTTAGTGAATCCACTGCCGCTGCAGGCGAAGCACGGGGGACCACTGGCTGACGTGTGGAAGCCACAGCCACTAGAGTTGCGTCAGCAGATTGTTTTCCGTTTGGCATTCCCGGCTGCGGCTGAGCTGCGCCAACTAGGGCAGTTGAACTTGTCGGGCTTCCGCATTGTGAAGTTCGCAAGGAGGCCGATGGAGCTGATCTTCCTTGAGGTCCCCAATAGCCCATCGGCAAGGGCCGTTCCAGCGGTTGCAAATTAGCATGCTCCAGTGGCTTGGGATGAGGCCGCAGCGGCTGCTGGGGCTGTAGGTGCTGCAAGGCCTCGTGAAAGTCCTCCTGAGAGGCGCTTTCCCCCAGCACCCTTTTGGAAGAGGGCGAAGCTTCTCGTGGCGGCATCACGGGCTTGCAACAATCCAAAGGCACTGAGTCTGCTGCATTGCTAAGAATCGAGGAACCCACTTTCCAGACGATTGTCTCCGTGGCACTGACGGACACGAAGTAGTCCCCTAGAGCCTGCAGCATGAAGGGCGACTTGTTGTGGCCGGCGAACGAGTGAAACTGAGGAAACTCTGTGACAATTAGGCCTTCATCATCAGCATCAAAAGAGCTGCTGTTGTTTGTAGTGGGCTTCAGAGTACTTTCAGTGCAGGAACAGCGGCGTAATGCCGAGTCCGCTGACTTCTTGCCCCACAAGTCAATTCCCCCTGGTTTCTGACTGGGCGCCTCTCTGGTGGAGGGCGGTTCTTCAGCCAAGCTCCAGACCTGCAAGCAGCAGACGCCAGCTCTTCAAATACACCGACATTGGCTGTACACTCACGAGGGATGCCTTGAACGAACCCTCGCTGGGAGGACGGCAAAGTCTATTGCTGGCGAAGCCACTGCTAAGGTAGACTTCACTGTGCTTGACGCAGTATGCGCAAAAACGGCACTCTGAATAACATGCGAACTTACCCTGATTAGCCTGTCATCAGCTCCACATGTTACAGCTGCTGGCGGAACGCCGCTGCCTACCCGTGTAGCTGAAGATACCCAGGCAGTACTGATGGGGCCGCTTAACAGCGCAAACACGCGGCACTGGCGCAATACAGTTGTGCCTTCCTGCACAAAGGCACTGATTCTCAGCAAAACAGCCTTGCAGCCCGCCGTGGTTTTACACCCACCGTACGTGGAAGAGAGGCTTAAAAAGCGCTTACACAGGTCCAGCCAGCTCAGAAGGGCACTTGGCGCTTTGGCAACGCTTGAAACAACGCCAATTTGGAGCTTCTGACGACGCTCAGACCATTGTAGGGAAGGCCGCTTACTTCCTGTTGCAAGGTGAAGAGGCGCATCTTCGAGTCACTTCCACAGACGCAGAGAGAGTCTCCAGCCGTTGAGAAGATGAAAGCTGTGATACTCAGGGAATTACATGCTGTAGAAAATGGATTCAGGGCATATTCAAAGTCGAAATTGGGTAGGCTGTAAAGGCAGAGTTTCCGGGATGAACAATATTGAACAGCTTTGCATCCATGAGCTGCAAAAACAATTGCTGGAACCCCCTCTGGAGGGGCATCTGCAGGGGTATCCTCAAGCTTCCGAATGAGGGAGAATTCATGGAGCTCGGAAAAGATGCACATGCCTGCAGCGTGGCAAGCAAGCGCCACCATCAACATCACGAACCGCCAACTTGGTCGTGAGAGCGTCGTTTAGAGCATCTAACAACATAATCGTGCAGCTATGAGAAAGTGTGCTGAAGCCTCCACGGCAACAGCTCTCGCCCTTCGAGTGACAACTAGCATTCAGGAAGTTGCTGCTCACATCCTATGGCGTCGAGCGAAATAAGTAGGGAACACTGCCAGGGAATCTTGTTTCTGTTCTTTGGGACGTTTCTTGTACTGCAGCTACTCTGTCTCTGGTGCTCCTGCTGCTGAGAAGGGGAAGGGAGGACTCGGGTATCCGCCTGGTCAAATGCAGCTGTGGGCATGTCAACAAACCAAAGGCCTGTAATGGGATGCGTATGATGATTAGCCTCCATCCATACAGTGGGCCCCTCAACGGCCAACACCCTCACTGATCCACTCTTAAAGCCCAATGCCACAACGCGCTGGGTGGGATGGGCAGCCACACAGAGTGGCGGGTCGTGGGGGCTCTCCAACTCAAACGTCTGCAGGGAGTGTAGCAAATCCGCATACGCAATGCTGCTCGAAGTGAATAATTCAAGCATTATGGGGACGCAGTAGCGAATCAGCCTCCTGCAGTTGAGCCTAGTGCCGTGTGCCCTTGTAATAGTCGACCTGCGGCAAGAGCGCTGTGTGTAGAGTAATGAGGGCATGCACCTGCTGAAGCTCAGGAAGATTCCATACGCGGACAAGACTATCTTCGCATATTGTGTAGAGCTCTCTTAGAGAGGCTGCCGACGTTACACAACAGCAAGGGACAGTCGAATGGGTGCGGTCGGGCGGTGAAGAGCAGAATACAAAATATATTAGCAGCTTTGCTTCTCAGACTGGATGCTAAGAGCTGGCAAGCTTTAAGGAATTTTCCTGGCAAATGCGGTATTGAAGCTATAACGCACAGCTCTTGATGGAGGAATTGCCTACCACTGATGGAGGCGCTTAGCACGCGAGCTGGGTGTGCGCGGCTAATCGGGATATGGTGCTGCTTTGTGAGGTCAAAAAGCTCCACTGTACTGTCGGCACAAGTGCAAAGCACTTGTTGCCCGTTTGGAGAGGTCTCGATACCCACGCATGCCGCATTGTGCCCTGCAGAGTAATATGCTGTTGCGAAGTTTAGAGGCCACACCCTGCGACAAACATGCATTCTTAGCCGTTCGGGCGCTCCAACTCCTCATTTCTATATTGAATAAAATTTAATGTGCACACAAAAACAGAGCATGCACTGAAAAGCCGATATCGGACTCTTAAACGGGAAGATCATTTGTCGGCTAGATATAGCACTTTCTGAAATGTCTTGCGGAATTCAGAAGCTGCTATTAGGCTTCTTACTTTACTGTTTTGTCTGCAGAGGCCGTGACGCAAAAGCCTGGGCCGGTGGATATCGCCCAGATGGGACTTTGGTGTAAGCTAAATACGCGTTTGAGTGCTCGGGTGAAATAATCAATCTGAGAGCAGGTAAGGCTCGTCTTGCGCCTCATTCATTTTCCAGTGCAGCCTTTCCACTGCACGTTGAACCCTGGGAGACTAGGCCATGGTGCTCAGTATGCAAGGCGTGTTCTTCGTTTCGAACTATGCTTATGCCCTGTGCAAAGCCTACCTGTAGAAGGCTTCCGCATGTCGAAGAGACAAGCAGTTTTGCCATGGAACCTGATTCGCCTCCTAAGAAAAGCAGATCATCGCATATCGCTAAGAATGTCAAAACATCGACCCCATTATTGCGAGGTTTCGCTTTACCGAGGTTACTATTTGGAAGTAGTGCATCGTTGCTCCATAGAAATGCAAAATATGTCTCTAAATGGGCAAGACCGGGAAATTAAAGGAATTCCCCTCATGACGGTGTGGTTGAACTAGCCCCTCAATTACTGTACGCCTCACGTGAAGTGAGTTGTTGCAGTTGCTGAGGCAGTACGAACGCGAGATCTGTGAAGAGGCTTCCCCTTCCAAGACCATCAAGTGCAACATTGCATCCCGGCAAATGCGCGTTCTGCATGTCAAGTAGAGGCAACGGTTGAATATTTCTTACTCAGTCATGTCTCGCAAGTTTACTGGCATACCACACTGGCGTAAAAATGGCAGAAATCCCATGGTCTCAGCTTTGGCGGTTCTGGTACATTCCTTTTTGGCAAACAGTGCTTAAATGTTGCGCAAAGAAGCTCGCTGTAGTGTCATATGCCGAAAAACTCAGGGTTCGTTTATTCCGTAGCTTCTGCTTACAATGATGTGCCCGCCACATGATTTCGCCACTGCCCGTGCGAATGTAAATTCGCTTACGGCTCTAGAGTACCCAGAGAGCAAATAGTGCCAGGCCAGGAAAGCTGCCGTACCACTTAGGTTTGGTGGTGGATTAATGACTTTTACAAGTTTATCTTGGGACAACGTAGTAAATAAGGGACTCTAGGGTAAGTCCTACAGTACACTAAATATTGACGGCATGCAAGCCAACACAGCTCTTACTAGTGTCCTACTACCAAACTTGTTGATGCTGATGCGGGAGATCTAAAATCGTTGTTGGCTGACCTTGATGCGCCAAAAGCGAACATTTTCTTTTCCACAGCTGACGAGTCTCAGCTCTTCGAGCGGCGATATGCGGAGTGCCTCGATCTGTACGCAATACCCAGTTCACCTATTGACGGCTCTGAAGCAGCACCCGGGACTATCTCATTTCCACGATAAAAATCTAGCTTAAAGGAGTGCAGCCCTACAGAAGCTATAACCTGGCAAGGGTTTCGGTATAAGTGACCTGGAAGTCTGACACTTGGCGGGCAAGCAGGTTTGGGCTCCCGGTTGTTAGCAATCCATGAAGCTCCCACACTTGAAGCTGCTGGCGGCCCAGGTGGTCTAAGCCGACGAGCTACAGAGACAGCCACGCCTGATATGTGCCTATTTTAGGACTCCATTTACCTTCGCTTCTCACACTAAGCTTCACCAATGGTATCGTAAGTGGTTGAGGAGGAAAATTATGGCTACACTTAAAAGCAACAATATTTAAGCGCTACGAGCCAATACTCGTAGTACTTTAATATTGTTCAAAGTTTGATATAATGAATATTTATTCCCCTATCTAGGGCGAGAAAAGTCGTTTGATCGAAGCACAGAAGCATGTCACTTACCACCATGTATCGGCCTCTAGGGTCTAGACGAAGCAAAGAAATCCTCTCAAGTGTTACAGATTGAACAATCTGCAGGCATTGTAAGGGTGTTCCACTGAACTCTCCTGAAACAGCTCTGTTTGCGCCAAATGCAAAGCTACTTTCATGCAATCCGAATGGACAGCTCTGTGTAAGAAAATGAGATGCTGATTGCCAGCGAATCAGCGGTCCGGAGAGGGATCAAGCGGGCTGCACAGCTATAGGTCCCACTGCGCTCGACAATAGCCAATATCAGTGAGCTGCAGTGCCGCCTTGATGTAAGCCGAAAGCGTGCTAGAGGAAACCCCTCTTCGGGATGCACTGCAGGATGGCCTACAATGTAGGATACAAGCGGGATTACACCAATGCAGTCGGTTGGCCTCACCGCAATGCAGCGAATATCTTCACTGTCTGATACTGTAGGGGGAAGCTTCCAAATCCTGAATGTGTCCACAGATTGCCAAGTCAGCCGTTTACTTTTGTGCAAGGATAATCACCCGAAAGTTGCTGACGTGGATTTTCATATCTAAAGCGGTTACCACGGATATTGCAGGGGCATTCTTCTTATAGAGAAAAATACTCTTTTGGTGAGCTGTGGATAGCATGCGCACCGGATAACTGGCTGGTCAGACTCGTTTTCAACTGTTGCAGCCAACCCTACTTCACTAGCTGTTTCGAGGAACTCAATGCTGCTATTGTGACCCAAAAGGCACCTGGATGTTTCTGAGGAGAGGACGCAGCCGAGTTCCGATGCAGGAAAGCGTGAAAAGGTAACACGTAAACATTAGCTTTGTTAATAAAGAAACTATTGAACATGTGGGGCCATGCAGGTAATTTACACAGTATTCCCGACTGTCTATGGATACTTACGGTTTAGAAGATTTCGCTGCATCAGGACTGAAGAGTGACAGCTCAGTATGCGCGAATCATCCAGCCACATAGCGCCACACTTCCGCAGTTGTGCTGGACGGCAGAGGCCACTAATTTGCTCGAGCTGCAAGAACAGTGCAAGAGTGATGTAATTAGGCTTTCTGCAAACATGATATGCTTTGCATGGTAATACTGTTGCGGAATGCGGTAGTACGTGCGCAGGTACGAGTGCTTGGGCAATCTTGCTAAATCCTAAAAAGTTGGCAGTTTGGCTTCTAAGTACTCATCGTACCTGAAGGACTGCACGAACTCCATAGGGAATTTCTGAGGGTTTAAGCGGGTTACAGAGGAGCTGGGCTGGCCTGTTCGCCTCCTGTGAAGTCATGCCGGAGTTTTTTACCGCTGCAGGGTCGGTGGCGCTGCACACCGCCTTATCCAGCTGCGTCTTTTGGACGCAATCCTCTACCATGCAGTTGCCATCTGACACAGCGAGACATGTAAGGATCTTGCTCTTGCTGTGAGGCCATATGTTAACTGCATGCCTGAGCTATTCTTAGCTCAGGGAAGAATTCTATGCTTACGCAGATTAGTGCAAGGTCATTTTCTGACGGAGCGATAAACGTATGCCTGTGTGAAATACCCTCAAGAGGCTCCGGCGTGCTGCGATCTGTGGTACTACAGCTTATTTGATTGCATTCCGGCGAGCGACAGCCGATGGGTACGTATACCCAGGGCAGAAGTTCTTCTGGTCCGGTTTCAGAGGCTTCTTGCAGGCGTAGGCATCGGGGAAGGTCCTGCAGCACCCATTGTGTCGATATTAATGCCGATCCAACCTCCTTCCTCCAAAGAGAGGTGAACACAAGCATCCCACTACACGAGCCTTGCAAACAGGTAATCCTAGACGAAGAGCTCTAGGCTGAGTGCTGCCGTACATTCGTGGTGTATAGGGTATCTGAGGTGAACAGCCCTCTAAGATAGAGAGAACAGCAAACTTGAATTGACACAAGCGTATTTCCTGTTGGAGGCAGCTTTGTAAACTGTCCCAGTATACTCGGGATGTGTAGACAAAGCTGAACCCAGCGGGAAGGCGGCAGGAACGGGTACTGCACGACGCGGGCCCAGACCTGAGCTCGCAGCAGAGTGTTCAAACTTGTGGTGATTTATTTCAAACTCACGGAGTGAAATGCATAAAGAGGCAGACTCCGCACCACTACATAGCTGTGTAGTTACATACAATCAATTCCCTTCGATGCCACGTACTTTAGGTTTTTTCACAAGATTTGTTACAGTGATCCGTATGGGCAGCTTTTTGCATGTCATCAAGTCGAAGTGTAGCACGAAAAACCTATTTGCCATGGGCTTAAACTGTACATATACCTGGAAATATCACGGACGCACAACATAATGCACTAATGACGAACCCTGAAGGGCTACACACTAGACCGCCCGTTGGTGCATTGGCCCTACTATGCAAATGACAGTGTTGCCTAGAACACTAAGAAGTGCTTATGCAGGAGTATTGCAGACGGACATAATTTGCTTTAATCCCTAAGCTTTCATATTTATTTTTGATGCTGGGAAAGCAAACAAAGTTGTTTGCTGAAATCAGCCCGTAAATCCTCCATACTCGTCGCCCTATAGTTCGGTCCTGTTCACATGGCAGCAATAAATTCCTGGGTAGGCTCCTACGATCACTGCAACTAATGTAGGGCCGGTATAGCCACACAGACATTGAGTGTCATTCCTGTCACACGGTGCTTCTACTTTGGCATACAACTTCCTCCGTGACCTCCCCATGTTTGCTGCTCCTCGACGGATCGTCCACTGGGTACTGTTTGAGTAGGTTGACCACAGGCCGTTTTCTTTGATCACTCTTCGCATTCATGGCGAAATCCTTATTCTTAGTATGAGATAAAGATCCCGCTAATCGTCTCCTTGCTGCTGGAAAAGGGAACCGATGTAGCAGCTGTTTTAAGCCAACTCCGGACCTTATACCCGGCAAAGTTAACCAGATGTGAGATCCATATGACACTAGAAAGGAAGCGACTGAGTCGCCAACTTCTAAACACGGTCTCAGGTGTTTGTTTGGGAACCACGGAGGAAGCTGACCATTTGGCGGAGGCCTAAGCCCTCCGCACCATGGCGTCAGTAGGCGGTTTTGTGGACATTTGGCAGCAGCCAGCACTAAGGGATGCGATGCTGTGAGGGGTCAGCTCAACTCTTTGCTTATGAAGGCATGTCCCTGTTACTAGCACCTAGGAGACATAGGGTAGCGGTATCAGGATCCCAGCAACCACGAGCGTTTCAGCAACAATTCTCGAATATTCGTCCAATCACCACTAGTCCAAGGTTTTTCAAAAAAAACAGTAAGAGGAGGGTTCTTTTAAGAGAAGCAGGTTAAATTTTATTTCAGTACATTTTAGAAAGAGCTGCACTACGGGATATGGGACGCGGCACGGGCAAGCAATCCGCCCGTGCTCGATGGTGCGTCGCCTGTGGACCGCAATTCAGGGTAATTCACGTAGATAAAGTAAAACTCAGCACATCTTTTCTGTTTCAAGGTAGGTAAAACTACAAGGGATCCTTTTTTAGTGCTCCTCGGTATACAGCGTTTTCGAGACTCCCAGTGGCCCCGCCCACGCGCCCGCAGCCCCCATCTGTCCAGCGGTCAGGCTTCTGATACCGTTTTGATTTATTTGGAATGTCGGAAACATAGTGAGACAAGTCAAAAGCATGACATGTGGAAGGATACGTAGTGAGTTCGGGTTATATGACGATCGGTTGTCCCGAGGAGGGTTTGCGGTGACCGTCGTCGTTTCCGTGCACCACACCAAACGCTACCGGCATGTTCTCAAGGCTTCTACTGGGGCATTTACAGGTTTTCAAGCACAATGTCAATCTGGAAGATGTAAAAAGAGTCTATTCTACGGCAAATACGCAAAAGGCGCGCTGGTGCCGTGGAAAAAGGGGCCAAGCCGAATTCCAGTCCTGTTTATTAAGAAAATAGGCGGTTACAAGCGCAGTCAAAGATACCTCACAGCAAGTCATGGAATCGATGCGTACAACACTGGCCCACGTGCTGCCAGGGATCGTGTGGCAAAGTGCCGCTGTAGTGGTGCATGGTGGGTACTGCAACCGCAAGCAATTATTTGAAGTGCTGACCTGCTACATCAGAGGATTCCCTGCAAGCAGTTGCTTCCATATAAACTGATCCAGGGTTGCATTTTATAAAGCTTCTTCAAGTTCGGCAAGATGCTGCAGCTCTGGAGGCAGCACTTCGAGGTCTTCAACTGCCTCAGGTGCCTGATTCGTTTCACCAGCTGCAACCGCTGCTTCGGACCGATCCGCTGCCTCGGCTATATCGGTGCCGGTCCAAGCACCTTCCGCATCTGGCTCGATTTTATTCTCAAGAAAGGAAGCGGCCTCGTACTTGTCCGCGGTAGGGACCCTAAGGCGGATGCTAAAACGTGCCAGAATGTGGGAAAGCCCGCCGATTGCTGTGCCCACGCGATGAGGAGTAAGCTCGAAGATGGGAATAGCGGTTAGGCAGAAGCCCATCGGAACGCGAAACGAACACCGATACGGTAGCTGCACCTGAGCCACCAGTACTATTCACAGAATACAAATGCTGAACACCATGCTACAATGCAGCCCCTACTTATGCCTAGAAGTGCATCCAGAATACAGACATTAGGTATTTATCTAAGATTTTGAAAATGCCTGGTGAGTAATTACCTGGTGAACCCTGACCCTCTCCTTAGGGCGGGTAACATGTGGAGGAAGGTATGGCACTAATTCGTCATCGAACTCCCCACGCCACCATTCGCCAAGAAACTCGCCAACTTCCATCTCAGCGCCCTCTGCTGAGGCCTGCTGGGCCACCCATTTCCTCTTTGAACCCTGCTCAAGCTTGATTAAGTGCTTTTGGAGCTTGTCGTACAGCACCTCCCTCGGCTTCTGCCATGTCTTGTACTTGAAAGTCACAAGGCTGTGCTTCTGCTGCTTCTGATCCAGAAGTAGCAAGACATGCGGATACTCCGCGCGATGCACCAAGAAAAGGGCTGCGACCGACCGGCGCGTGCCTTCACGCATATACGCTTCTTGCCGCTTCAAAAGAAGCTCTTCGGCAACGCCTGCGCTCCACTTCCTGCCAAGCGCGCTGTCATATTCGAAGGAATAGTTGGACTCCGGGTATACGGCCCACTCCTGTTCGGAATCTCTCAGTGCACACGTTCTAACAGGTTTTGGCGTTCCTTGCTTGGATTCCGCTCTTAATGGCTCAGGCGCAGCTTCCGATGCAGATTCCCAGTCGTCGATGTTCTCCTGTGGTTGCTCCTGCTGCTGCTGGTTTGGCTTTTTTTCTTGTGCGTGATCGTGTGGCTCCTTGGTCGATTCTTGCGTTGCGTTCGAGGCCTCGCTGGCCGGCGCACCAGCGTTATCCTCCACAATCACCTGCATTGCACTGTTCTCACCGTGGCCTTCTCCTATGGGTTAGCCTCGCGCAAGTAGCAAGCTTGCGGTTTGCTGTGCCCCAGGTCTTCTGGAGGCGATTTCACGGCGTCCCTGTCGGCTGTGGCCAGGAAAAGGCACGCAACCGGGGCCTTACAATGCCACTGCCTCTGGAATTGGCGGCCAGTGCTGTAAAACTCCATGTGGGTGTGGCCTTCTGCCGCCCAGCCATGCCCGGAAGTTCAAGGGTCGATCTCAAGGCACAACGACCCGGATTCGGAGTACTCTAACACTACATGAGAGGTAGTGCATCAATAGAGCTCTAAAAGGCGAGTTGATGGCTTTCTAAGAAGACTGTAATATCTACTATCGATGTGGTGCTGAGGTGTTTGTACTTGCGGCAACTACAGAGGGGCTGCTGGCGACTCCCGCATGCTGGAAGGAACGACGTCAAAACGACGCAGCATCTAGCGGACGCATATGCAATTCAGTTTGCCCCTTGATTTTAGATTCGCTTATTTTTTGCATTGTATTTCGGAAGACCCCCCAGCAGCGCCTATGGGTAAGGGAATGCCGTGCTGCCACGGAGCGCGCCTCTGCTCTTGAGCTTGTACGGAATTGACTAAACGACTCATTTCCGTTTATGTATCTTGTCTTCAGAGGTGGTAACAGCTGACTTGTTCATCCGCTGCTTGTTGAGCTCTCACTCGCATCCTTGGCGTACGCAATGGCGGAATTAGTACGATGCTTCAGGGAGTCACTGCAGCGGATGGTATGTCGACAGATCTGTGACTCGCCGACATCCAGCAGAGTTCATGCCTCTCAGCCTGACAGCAGTTTACTGTTGCCAAGCTCAGCCGCAAAGGCCGTGGACCAGACTATCACTACTATCGCCAATCAAATCGCAGGAGTTGCCACGGAAAACCCCGCAGCTCTTGCACACCTTGTGGCCTACTTTAGAGTCGTCCAAAGCGTGGACACTCTTTACCAGAAGCACGAAAAGGCGGCTCCTGCAATGGGTGTGCATGACGTACAAAAGGCTGCAAAACTCGTGGGCCTGCGCCTACCCGACAACCCTTGCAGTAAACTGCAAACGGATACCGGTAGGCATGCGCCAGTTAACATGTTTGTATTTTCTTTAGCTGCACTACTTCTGCGTCACACTGTTGTGTTTGTCGTAAAATACTCTCTCGCGTGTCTGCTTCCCAATCGACATTTATTTCGTGTCAAACTTTGCTCAGGCGGGGATCCTTCCGAGCGCTCATGAAGACTGAACGTGCTCTGTAAATTTGGCAAAAGAAGTTAAAGCACAATTTATTACTCAGGAAAAGAGAATTTCTCCTTGCGAAGCCTTCCTGAGCCCCTGAAAGCTTCTAGTGTATGTATACTCGCGTATACATGCTAGCTTGGTAGTACTGCAGCGGCGCCAAGATGTTCTGGACTCAGGACAGTAGCGCATGGAGTCAACCTGTTCTGTGAATCGCACACACAGCGTGTCGCGCGTATTCCTACTGCCGCTGACATTTGCTGGCCATCACTGGCCGTTTATAGTCGGGTCCGTCCAATTGACAAGCAGCGGCATCTGCGGTAATGCACGGGGTGACAAGCGACTAGGCATATCCTTCCCGTGAAGAAAATGATCCTTTGATTTGGACTTCTCCAGACATCTTGTCTCGGCCCTTGAAACCGGTGCAGACAAAATACATTTCCCTGGATTCTTGTCGGCACGCCCTACAGGCCACAAAGTACATTTATGCATGCGTCAGGTACATCAGAGAACACACATTGCAGCTTAACATCCTGTATTTAGGTAGAAGCCGTGTTAAGCAGTGTGGACTAGGGCAAGAAAGCAAATGGGCATCTGAATGGCTTGTGCTGCGCGTACATCGCAATATATCTAAGAGAAAACGACCCTTACCGCGGTTTGGCGGAGGAAACACTATCAAATCTACTACGAAGATATGCCTTGTACTTCCCAGACTCGCTGCCCATGAACATCTTTACGACGAACGTGCCTCCTAGGCATAGCACCTGATGTCCGCAGCCAAGTTGAAAAGCAGATATCCTGCCTGCCATGAGCTGAGCGGTCGAATCTTGACACAATCCTAAAAGCATTACCTCCGGCCAAAAACTGGCGCACCTGTTCCATGAGGTCAGCAGCGTAGAGGCAGAGTTCAATCGAATTAAAATGGTCGTCGTGCCTGATGCCCGTGCATGCGGGGGCCATGTCGCTGAGTACAACATCGGCCTTTTGGTCCCCGAGCTCTTGCAGCACGGCCTGGAGCGTTGTAGATTCGCCGACTCTGCCGTGGATGAATTGGACATTGGGTATCTGCAAAGACAGCCCACAGGATTAATGCGATACTACCAAATATGAGCTCTATAAGGCATCTGTCAGCGTATGCTTTAGTTGTGAACACGATGTTCGATCCTTGCATTCGATGCCACTCACTGTGGCATCCGCAGGACACGCGCACTGCTAGTAAATCCTTTGAGCCTCCGTTCTATTAGTGTGCCTAGAGTCACACTTACTGGGTCCATGTGGGCAATGTCTACGCCGATTACACGGGAAGAAGAGGGTGTTAAGGCGCCGCCGTTCGCCCAATTTGCGCCTTCATGCCCTACGAGACATCGCTTGGCGGCCACTTGGCACCACCCACCAGGATAGCAACCTAGGTCAAGAACAATACGATCCTTCCTTAGAAAAAGATACTCGTCGTCAAGCTGCTCAAGTTTGAAAGCAGAGCGGCTTCGGTAGTCACACTGCAACGCAGCACAACGATTAGGCTGGGGCCCGATGTCGCTAAGGAGTAAACCGGGAGACGCCGCAGGCGTTGCACTCTCGTCCTTGGCTTCAAACAAGATACGGCATCCTCAAACGGACAACGCCTCGATCAAACGTGCACAGGGAGTAGCCAATTTGGCAATTTCATAGAAGAAATGCCTAACATGGATAGATTCCTTGTATGTACGACTCTCACACTACACAGGCGTTAAACTGCAGCTGCACGCTGTTATTGATCCTAGCACCCGGAAGCGCGCACGAGACCTGAATGGACAGCATGCGTCGAGTAGCAACAGATTTGAATGGCGTCCTTTGCGTACCTCTTGCGCGCGCTGCACGTAGGTGTCTGTGATGTGCCGTGTGATCCACTCGGAGCTGTGCCGAGACCGCTGGTTGCGAACTGGCGGGATGGCCTTTGTAAAGGCTCGAACAGACCCTCTCGTGCACCAGCCAATGCCCAGATTCTCGCTAACCGTTGTTCCCAGGATCGTTAGTCCTCCTGGGGCCCCGCGAACGACTAGGGCCCTAGTCGAAGCACGCAGAGGCGTCCCTAGAGCACGCCACATGGTAACCAAGCTGGCTGTGAGTCTTCTTTCCAATCATAGTGACCTGAAGTGCCGGTTTCGCAACGGTCCCCAGAGTGGCGCTAGGATCGGGACTGGACCCCCACGGTGCCTTCCCCAGTGGCTGAGCTACCAACACACCAATAACAATTTCCCTGGAGACCCATAACAAAAACAAAGACGTGACAGGCCTAAATGCGCTAAAATTGGAAGACTTCGCTGAATTTGACGCAACGGAATCAGGCCTTAGCGCAGTGCGGCCCCCTGCTGCGGCCGGGCAACCGATACTCAGCCCCAGCCGTGATTCATGAGCTCCGACAAGAAATAAGTTTAACTGTTGAGATGTGCCTACTTGAATCCAGCCAAAAAAAGGCCCTTATGCTCCTACGCAAATTGTACCAACCCTGCCTACCCGCCGACCTTGCTTTCGAGTGTGGCAAGACGGCAGCAATCAGCTCACTCAGCAAAGGGTATCGGCCGTCAAAGCCTGTTGAAAGGAGCAATGCACGCTGCGCTCCATGCCGATTCAGGGCAAAGGGTGCTGCGAGCCACAATCAATACCACCGTTTCCAGATATCTGGGCCGTACTAATCGCTGGCGCATGACTAGGAACTGACATATGCGTGCTCTGTACGTGCTGCTTTATCGTCCGTCCACTAAAGACGATTCCTTAACTGCTGAAACTACGACACCCGTTAAGCAGTATAACTGGGAGGGTACCGAGAATCGCAGCACTGAAAATGGCATATTCGATGGTGGCGAAGGAAGTAACCGCCACACTCTGTATGTACCCCAATTTCTATGTCTCCTACATCTCTCTATTCCGTTACAAAACAACCGTTTGAAATTGCCTCAGTTTAAATAGCTTTACGCAGTGACTGCTGCAGCATTTCGCAACTGCCACCACGACTGAATAGCCTCGCACTGGAGCTAATGCGATCACTTGGTGCGCTTCTTGTTTTTCTTGTTCTCGCTCTTCACCTCTTCCCTCTTCTGTTTCTCCTTGACTTGTAGGACTTGTTTCACGCACTTCTGCTCTTCAACCAGGAAGGCACGAAGCACCCTGCAGCGACGAAGCAAAAGCAGTAATCCGCAATGCATGGGAGCCGCCAAGGAACACTTTCATATTGTAAAGGCCAAAATATCGACATGAATCATGGGACTCTACTGATCAACAATGGGACAGAATGACGGATGAAAGGAAGCTCAATAAAAGCTCACTTCTCGCGAACGCAAAAGTGGCATCGGGTGCCGCCATATGCACGGTTGACTCTCCTCTCGCGCTTCTTCAACAGCCTTAACTGAGGAGGGCGGCGTGCAGGGATCTGAACAACGCACGATTAGACATCCGAAGAGGCATGTCCGGGAATGACGGGTCCTTCCAGGTGGCAATATATTATAAGCCAAAAAACACTAGTCCTGCCGGGCAAACACTGGGACGACATGAATGGAACCAAGGCCACAGAATTGGCTATATTCAACTACAAAAAACAGGGCAGTCCACAACTGATTCGCCGCCTGGTACTCCTGAGCTCGATTTGCAGAAGCAAACTGGCTGAATGTAGGAATATGTACGTGAGAAAAAGTAATCCATCCCACTTTTTCCCACTTGGTATGGGCTGGAGCGGGCTGAGTCCAGACCACCCGAAGCCCGAAACCTGGGAGAATATGATAAGATCATGTAGTAAAACAGAAGGAAAACACTAACATCAGATTAATCGGGAAGTGTTTCTCACCCCCGGAAGGAGCCTTCCGCATCCCCCACACTTCTGGCGAGAAGCCTGCTTGCGGACGTTGAGGTATACGACCTTCGCACCAGGGGTTTTGACGCGCCTCACACGGTTCGAGGCGGTATTATAATGGTTGTGCCGACGGAAAACTAGACGTGTGGTCATTTTCGTTCACCGGCAGAAGGGCGTGGGGTCTTGGGAGGCGTGGGCAAAACGCGGCCTGCTGCACAATAGTCTGCAGACGCAGGGAGAAAGAGCTTGCTACCCGAAGCCCACGGATTATGAAAATGGTCGATTTTCCACACAAAAACCCGCAAGAGCCAAACACCCAGAAGCCAAAGCTGGCGAATAAGCAAGTTCCTGCAGCGGGTACCCGCCACCCCGAGTACCCCAACGCTGCATGCCAGCCCACAGCCCCCATGGAAGCCCCATGCAGGATTCACTGGGCAATGCCCCAAAGAAAATCCTATCCGTCCCACCATTTGCATACAAATAGAGCAGGGAAAGAGTATTGAGGTGCGAGGCTGCATGATTGTTCTGCACTTGGTGACGGATCGCCAGAGTGGCTGTGGATATTTATTGTGATATTGTAGTACTGGTTCGCCTCATACAAATTCACACGGATCACTGGCTTGTGCCAAGCTGATTCCATTTCATGAGGATCAGCGAATCTGACCTTAGTGCGCTGGAACCCAGTGCGAATGGGCTGTCTCTCCCTTGTGTGCTTCCGGTGCATTTCCCAGCGCATCTTTGCGAATATCTACCCTTGGCAGAGGCTCCTCATGTCTGAGCTCCTGGAGCAGTGCAGCTTTAGCGAGGTGACCAAGACTAGAGTGACGTAGTCACCGGAATAACTGCCCCCGGTGTGGGTGTGTTTACGAATGGTGGACCTTTCCTAGGATATTAATTCATTCTTTCTGGCATACAAGTGCACAACGAAGAGATACTCTTCGTGACCCCTAAACGTGTGCTTCATTGGAAGTATACCTACGTGTTTGAGTTACTGAAGTGGCTTCTATTGCTTTGCCCGCCTACCTCTCCCCCTGTTCGGCCATCGCGTCAGTAATATGCTACGATAAACTCGAGCAAGGATGGCATCATTCCTCCCTATTTCCCGTCCCTTTCTTCCTGACGAGAAGTTACAGCGGCCTGGCTCAGAACAACTTCAACCTTCGGGGGGCCCTATCCGGGAAAACGGCCGAACAAACGCTCGCAGCGCAGGATCATGGTTTTCCTCTGTACCGGCGTTTGCTGATGACATCGACATTGATGACGACGACGACTCGGACACCTGGTGTTGTTGCGAACCGCTTAACAATACTGAGAGGATACTGGGATGGCTTACTTGTTTCCTAGGCGGGCTCGTCCTCTCAGCCGTGTCAATGGGTAAGCAGGTATCTGATTCATGTCGCCCATCGTGGTTTTCTTCTCGCTGAATGTGTTTGTCCATTTGAGGGTATGGCGTATGTTGACGTGCTGCTTGCGACTTCATTTGTAATCGTTAGAGCTGCATACCGTCACTTAAAAGTCAATAATGGTGTCCAATCTTTGCTGTACAGGAGCGGGCAGGTCTTGTTAGAGATGCAGGATAACCTTTCCCAATGGGTTTTGCTGCAGGTTCCTTCAATGACATGCTGTTAGGCAAGAACAACAAGTTTGCGGTCACGTACACAGTTGGAAACGTTATTGGACTGGCTGGGACTACTTTCCTTGTCGGACCCATACAGCAGATTAGGAATATGACAGACAAATCGCGTCTCATAACGAGTTGTACCTTCATCGGCAGCTTAATCGCCACCCTATTGTCCAGCGTTTACATCAAGGTTGGATTCGTCATCGTATTCTTTGTATGCATTCAGTGGCTTGCGTATATGTGGTATTCCTTAAGCTATATTCCATACGGCCAGCGGACAGTCTTGTGGGTCTTCCGCAGATTGACCTTACATTAAAAAGCACAACAAATGCATGGTTTCCAACTCACCAGAATGAAGGATGATATATAAGACGAATTACAGGGTCTAAGGCCAACAGCAGTGCAAAATACATGCCGCGTTTGCAAATGTGTTTTCCTGTTCAGTGGAGAGCACGAAAGGTAGGTTGCAGCGAGCCGAATATGTAGCAGTTGCAAGACCCAAAATATGCTGCATGCGCATAGTGAGTGCAAAGGGTTTTGCATTAAGCATGAGCACATGTAATTTTTTTCACAATCCTCATGCCCCTAGCGCCCCGTTGGGGCCTTTTAGAGGCGGCACTGCCGTCAGGCCCACCGGCGTGCCCCCCTCTCCCCCCGGCCACCCCCCCGAAGTTGTTTCTTCGTTTGTGCATACAATGTATCTGAGCAGCTTTGCTTCAACGCCATAGCGTTTATTAAGGCAAAACAATAAATTAAAAGTCTGTCGAATTCACCCCCACCGAGATGCAGCGTATCCTAGTGTGAGTTTTAATCGCCGCGAAGTTTGGCAAAACTGGTAGACGCCAGTAGCTTGGAATGAAAGCGCATGCTCAAGCGTCTGCCTTGCTCAGGGCCCCAATGTTATACTGAAACTGAGTAGACACCATAGAAATGTGCAAGGAGTGCTTGCACATATGTATATGTTTCTTAGAGGCCTCTTCGCCGAATTAGTCGCCAATGGACGCACTTGCCAACTCTATGTACAATTGTAATCCTCTTGAATAAAGATATTCCAGATTTTTTTAGTGCCGCCAGTCGTAGTGACAGATCAAAAGTCTCGATTTTGGAACCTGCGAGTTTTGGTACTGGACCGATCTGCTGCACTGCTGACAGCCTGACCGCTACAATGGCATTTAAATATGGCCTGGCATGCATAAGAACCTCTACCGTGGCCAGAATTCGTGGGCAGCTTGGCTGCTGCACACCAGTGGACGTGCGTGGTGAACTTCCATTGGGGCCATCAAACACTAGTTGCCCTCGACAAGGGCTGCTGAACCGGAGGTTTCCCAACAGGAGCACCTGCAGCGTGAAGTGGCCGGGAGGTCATCGCTAAGCTTGGTTGCTGCTGCTGCGTGGGAGCGCCAAGTGAGCCTACGAAGACGTTGGATCTAAAACACGCTATGCGTTTGCTCAGAGGCTCGTTGTCATCTAAGCCGGCTTCCCAAGGCGCTGAAGGAGGTTCCCGGCCAGGCCCCTCAGCGTCGTCTAAATCTTCATCATCGGCCAGACCATCTCCATCGGGCATATCTCCATCGTCTGCTCCTGCCTCGCCTCTTTCCACTCTACGTTTCCACATCACTGCTGCGCCGTACGCGGCCTCAAGACCCCCAAATTTCCTCGTGCTAAAAACCTTCGTAGCCTCGCGCCCTTTTACAGCCACCTCCCAGCAAGCTCCCTTCACATTGTAGGTGACGCCCCCTACAGTGGGAAACTCTCTAGCCAAAGAGGCTAATGTGCGCTTGCCTGCTTTTTGAGCGCAAAGGAGTCGGTTGCTGCGCTTTGTACATCCTGCATGGCCATCGTCGTCCAGAGTTTCGGCAGGACCAAACGGAGTACTTGGCGGCACGTTTCCTTCTTCAGGCAACTCCAAAGTCCCTAACCCTCCACGAGAGGACTGAGGGCCTTGTATAGGTAATAGGCGTTCGCCTACATGTGCCAAAGACGTAGGTGATGCTGCCTGTTGATGCTGCCCTTCCGGGGGGCGCAGCGGAATCAACGGAGCCCTTGGAACATCCCTGGAATTCCCATGCACCAGATCACTCAGAGAAGGAACTCTGGCAGGCGCTGCAGTAGCACTCTCCAGCAATGAATTCACCAATGCCATTGCCGATGTTGAGCCGTCAACTAGCCCCAAATACGCAGATCCTGTGGAGGTGCGGGGACCCAGAGCAGAAGATGCTCCAATTTGGGGCTGTGTTGTTGCGCAAGATTGTTGCAGTAACTGCTGCTGCAATTGTTGAAGTTGCTGGAGTTGCTCTTCTAGCTGTTGCTGCAGCCGATGCTGTAGCAAGTTCTGTTGCTTAGAGGAAGTCCCGCTGGCGTGCACAGACAGCATAGACGCTTGTGAAGCACCTGCCAAGTGTTTTTCCACTGTAGAGTTTCGTACAGCAGCTCCTGCAGTGGTAACTGATGAAGGAACCCCAGCACCTGTTGGCCGCTGCGAGGCGCCTCGTGGAGAGTTCCTCGCAGTTTGAGTCCCAGCAGCTAACCCTTTTGTCTGCTGAGGACTCAGGCTACGAAGGTTATTCGAGCCCGCTACCGATGCAGCGCCATTGTACTCCCTCTGAATCGCCGGCCCCTCGGTTGCTGCAGCAAGAGCGTCAAGCTTTGTGTTGACTGTTTGGTGCTGAAGGATGGCCGTTGGCGTTTGGATGCTTCTACCGCCAAAAGCCTCTGCAATTGCAGTTGCTGGGTCTCTCATAAAGAGCAAATCTGAGTAAATCAAATCACAGAACAGCTTTACTATAGATGGGAAGAACATGACGTTTGTGTACTGAAGCGATGTGCGCGAAACAGAAGCAGCATGGCCATTACATCCGTTAACAGTGGGAAATACGCAGAACCCAGCAACTTGAGCTGTAGTGTATAATCGGTACCCGGCAGCCTCGTCGGCGATGGTGGCACCTCTCGGCTGGCTGGAGGTGAAGGTGGTGCTGGCTGCACAGGCTGTGCTGCTGTACGATGGGTCTCTGCTGGCACAGGGTTCACTGTCTTTGAAGTTGACATTCCCATTAACGTCTGCCGCGCTTGAACAGCCAGGCGTCGAGCCTTCTCGAAACCATGTTGCTTGATGTTAAAGCAACTCTGCCGGGGCTGGCCTGAGGAAGAAAGCATGAACCTATGAATCCGACCAGACCTTACTCCTGTCTTGCGGAGCTCACAACGGCGCGTGTCATACGGCGGTGCTGAGAGAGCCTGCACGCGGTAGTGTATACCACTACTGGACAAACGTCTCTGGTACACGCCAGTTTTGACACATAAGTGAAGTTAGAAGCCCAACCGAGACTCACCATTGGCATCATTCCACTGGGCGACCCAGCATGTATGCTTCTTTCCAATGAAAACGCCCTTGATCTTGGGCAGCTCTGCAGCGCGGACGGCGTACTGCTGCCGCATTGGGCAATCGCTTGGGCTGCTATTTCCCGTCTTTCCATTGGCAGTTGCACCGAAAGCATCAGATCCCCACGCGTTGCGCCGTGCACCGATCGACGAACTCGTGGGCGACTGGCCCCGCCGTGATGAGCCGGCGGGTGTTGCCATGCCTGGAGGAACGGAGGCTCCCCCACCACCAAGTGCCTGAGACTCCACTGCAATAATACCACACACGTACACACACACACACATACAAGCACCCCAATTCTTCCTAGTGCAAATGCAGCTTGAAACATCGGGCATGTCAACGCTTTTTGAAGCACTTGTCTGTGAAATGTACTCCAATGGCCCGAAACGTTTCCTCAGGCCACAGCATCTCCAATGTTTGACTATTCCTCCTTTATTTGCCCCTCTACGCCTCTCAGCCATGAGATGCCCGTTTGTTCCTCCCACCGGCTGGCCATTCCGACACCCCGCCGCCTATCCCCCTAGAAGCTAGCAGAGACGTTTCACGTTTGTTCCATGATGCATGCACCCGCCCGACTTTGCATAAGGACCAGCCAAGCAAGCGTACCGTCGCTATCGGGGTATGAGACCATCTCTTCGCGCTCATTCAGACGCACGCCCGCAGCGGCCCCAGGTCTGGATGCAGCTTTGCCCAAAGTTGCGGCTGGGGACAGCTGCTGGAAGGTAGCCTGTTGCAAGGAACCATTCAATTCACCCCCTGAACAGTGGGACTGCGGCCGGGCTGACAGCACAGTTGAGCCACAGGCGTTGACAGAACCTGTGAGACCCCCATTCCCCGCAGTAAGTTGTCCGTCAGCAGGGTCTCGACCTCCCCGCAGTGCTTGCCGGGGAGGACACAGAGAGTTCCCCGAATCGCTGCTAGACGGTATGGCACCGCTGCTAAGTTCCCACAGCTGCCGTGGAACTGCTCCCCTTTCTGCTCCGTTCCACGATTTGCCAACAGCACCTCCTTCAGGGTGCTCGATTAAGCGTTGCACACGTGCCACGCTTGATTTCAGGCTCCGCCGGCGCCGACAAGCAAGCCGTATGCAGTCAAGATCACTGAGAACTTCCATGAGCTGATCGCGCGACCATTCTCTCGCATCAAACGGGGACAAAGACTGGAGAACGACGCGATAACTTCGTAGTTCTGAGCAATCCAAGGAAGTAGCCGAAATCGCTGTTTTAAAATGGAATCCAAAATTGTCGTCTCGCGCAGCCCAAGATGGCGCCAACGAACGCAATATCCGTAATATCCGCAGCACCGCAGATTTCTGCGCAACCAACTCAGTCCCCGAGGCGCAGAGAAGAACAGTAGGATCAAGCAAGGGCAGTGGGGGCGCCCACGCAGCGCCAGAGCGTCCAGAACTTAAACCTGCAGTAGTCAAAGCGGATGAAACGGCACTAAGAGACCCCTCCCCATGTACAAGTGGGAGACCCTCTTTGCGCCCCCCGCCAGGACTCTGAGGGGGCAAGACTGGACCCCCGTCCTCCCCACGGGGCACCCGATCAGAGTCAAGAGCTCCCTTTGGGGCCGCTAAACATGCAAGTGCACCTGGATCCTCCGTCCAAAGAAATGCGTTGCGTGTCAAAAATCTGTCCGGGTCCTGCCGCAGCATCAGAAGCTCTTGGACGAGCAAATGACGAGCCGAAGATGGCATTGTCGTTGGCATGCGGTAAGAGCCTACACACTCTCTGAAGATGTGAGAATATGGAAGGAGCTCCGCAAAGCGATCCGCGCACATCATCACAACACTATGGTGCCTGAATAGTAGGTGTAGAACGTCCCCCGTTTCAAAGCTGCGGCTAGGAGAAAGCCCATCTTCCTTTTTCATAGTGTGGCGAGGACCTTCCAGAGTTCCTGGTCCAGGTGGGGCACTGGCCAAAGGTCCACCAGCTGAATCCGCGTCAATTACAATGCCTGATGGGTTAGGTGAGAGTCTAGGGTCCCGTTCTTCCCTGCCGATAGAAACAATGCCAATAGCCTTGCCTCCCGCCGAAGCAGAGCCATCAGGTGAAGCGCGTATACCCTCTTGGGCAGGATCTGGCTCCCCAACAGTAGAAACTGGCGAGCGGCATGATCGATATACTGCTGGGGAAAATGAACGTGGAGAGCTTCTATCCTTTCCACATTGTAGTGGAGCCGTTTCTGAGCAGCACAAAGCGCCTACGTGAGGGTCCCTTTTAATTTGCTCAAGATCTGTGCCGCCGCAGGGGCCTGAACATCCCCCAAGATACCATAGAGCAATAAGGGGCAATCTGCAGCCGCTAACATTAGGGCAATCACAGGCACAGACGCGGCCAAGGGTTCCAAATACCTGATGTCGTCGCAGGCTGGATCAGCTCTCCTGTGCTATCTCTTCCAGTTTCCATCTTCCCGGCCGATTTCGCATTCTTCGTCATGACAGACAACGATGCATTGTTGGCCTGCTTGCTGTTCAACAACGGCGAGGCCCCGACGCAGCAACCACAGGACTCAGGGCTAGAAGCCGCTGCACAGCAGCAGGTCGCAGAATGAAGGTCCTCAAGCAGCGCAAGTAGCGTCATCTGTACTTCCGCGAACACGCCCCCCGCGTCCAACGGCGGCTGCAGCATCGCAACTCCCAAACACAAGCTTCAGGATCTTACACAAGGCACCTCTAGGAAGGCGACAGCACATACAGAAGTAATCAGCAACAAGAAATTGAACACGAGCTCTCCAGGGGCAAACCTCCCTTAGCCCGTAGAAGCCTCTGAGACCCAAAAGTTGCGTACCCGCAAAGCGCTGTGACTTGCCGCATGACCATTCGCGTGCTTTTCTAAAAAGGAGACGCAGCTGCGCGTAGGTTCGATGACATCCTCAAGCAGCTCAAACGAGTTAGTGGAGGCGTGAGGCAGGGCGAAGGTCGCTCCACAAACGAACGATCCAGCACTTTCCGTGGTGTCCTTGTTGGCGTCCGAAATCTCAAGCGGAAGAACAACATCTGTAAGGTGGAGGCTGCTGTCACAGCTTCCTTCCGCGCAGTTCGATGGGCTCGCTGGGGAGCCCAGTAGGCAAGGGTCACAAGCAGGAAGATATCGCACCTCTCCAACTCCGCCCTGAACATGTTCCAAAAAAAACACAGAAGTTGTGGGTACACTGCACTCTGCCAGTAGCTGGTAGAAGCCATAAAGGGCCACATAGGAACTACACGGAAGACAGCGAAACCTTTGCAATATACATCAACAGCATAGTACCTCTTCAAGCTTTGTCAGCTCCAAGGACAATGCCTGGCGCAGAGACCTGCCCGCTTCGTAGCTATCATCCTGCTCGCTGGTGCTTCGCGAATCCTTTGTTACGTCATTGTTGCCTAACTGTGTGCGGATAGGTGAGGCATAATCTGGAGGGGTATTCACGAACAAGGGAGCCGCATTATGTGAGCCATCAATTTCTCTTATGTCATGGGGAAGTCCCCCACATGTAGATTCCAAGCGCAGGCCAGCCGTTAGTCTGCGAGTGACCTGGCGCCCCTTTTTGCAAGCTGCTGATCTTCGAGTGATCTGTGGGTCCTTCGTTTCTCCCTGAAAGGCGATTACCTCATGACTCAGCTCGGCCAGTCTTGCGCTGAGCTCTGGAGGAAGAACGCATTCATCTTCCGTCCAACGACTACCCCCTCTAGCCCAAGAAGGGGCGGCTGCCAGCAGAGCCTCCGAGCCTGACTCTCTTGATGAGACATTCGACCTGCTCCCATTGTCGTCTGTACTGTCGTTGGAAACGGAACTCCTCAACAAATCCTCTGGAAGTTGCGATGACAGCTCCCTTCGCACAGCTACTTCGGAGGCCAATCGTGCCTTGCAGGGGCCTAAAAAGGGAGACGCCGCTCCTTTAACATCCGTTGCAGATGAAGGAAGCTCCGCTACATGAGTGTTAAAGCCAAATATGCAAGAGCGCATTAGTGGGCTCACCTCCACCAAGTCCGGCGCGGGAAGACCATCCCGTGAGCTGCTGCATTTCGGCTCAACGCCGGCCGCAGGTGCGGCACGGTAAGATTCGTGCATGGGATCCAAACCCTTCTTTCAGCTTTGTGGCCTACTTTGAGTGTATACTGTGGCGAAGGCACAATGGATGACGCCAGAGTTGATAGTGGGCGGTGGTGTAGGTTGTATGTGAAGACGAAGCGTAAGGCTACCACGACGCAAAAACCAAAGATGCCCATCAATATGGCAATATATCAATTGATCTACAGATGCAAAAACCACTCCTCAAATGGAGCGAAAAAAGCATCAATGGCAAGGCGGTGCTCCCCATCAACGACAATAGCACTTGCACGCCTATTGGCGCTCAATATCTGTATTCACAAGCTAAATTCCCAGGATATATTCTGTGGCTCAAGCAACACCTGCGACCCACACCCCATAGCTTGTCAAGGAAGTGCTCTGCAGTGTTGTTCAAACAGGCAACGACTAGCGCTTAATAGGCTGGATGTTCTCTTTACTTTTGTCAGCTCAGGCCCTGACACAGTAAAAGCACTTTCAGCTGCCCCGTGTCACCATTTGAGTTATACTGCGGGCAGCTGATGCATCCCTCCACCGTCCGAGTACAACAAGGAGAGGTATTGCCAAACAGAATGTCCTCCTAAATTCCGCAGAATCTGAAGAACAGCAGTCACCACGGGTCCAGGAGGAATCAGAAGGCAGACTGATAGAAACGGAGACACTTGTTTAAAGAGCCAAAAACACGGAGTACAATACACATGCGCACTGTGATGCGCATGCAGGCTGATGATCATGCTTATCCCTGAAGAGTAGATGGTGGGGATGGAAAAGACCAAACACCGAGGAATGGAGCTCCGATACACGAAATGCGGAAGCCAGATGAATTGTGCAGCTGTAGAGGTCCAAAATAGCCCAGAAGACCCCTCACATCGAGCTCGTTGACCCTGTGAGGGGAGGGCAGCCACGAGTTGAGAAAGGAAGCCGAGAACGCCAAAAGGAATCCCACATGAAAAGCTCAGCAATTTGCTCTCATATCATCTCAATGTGACCCGCTAGCGGGTGACGCAGCCTGTGGCTCAAAGGAACTCGTAGGTCTGCCCCAGGCGGGCGAAGCTCCGACGTGTGGAAACTGCCTCGATGCTCCCCGGTTCCAGGCGACAACAAGCCCTCGGTGTCCTGGCGTTTTAAGCTGGAATTCACTTTAAATAGAACACATGAAACTGGAATAATAAATCGTTGTTGGCCATAATAGGGTGCACAATGGCTGTTCATCAAGCTTGGAAGCCGTTCCTGGCCCCTCGGGATGGTGACGGCGCAATAAGCGAAACCTCGCGAGTTGCTCAGAAATAGCTCCATTACACTCCTATTTACCATACAATTTCGAGTTCTCGAGCGTTAACGATTTCGTATTAGAGAGGGAAAACTTATAACACCCTGTCGTTGCCCCTCTATAAACTGGGTGACGGCGTGGGGGAGCTGACCGATGCTACTGCTGCACAAGGTGAAGGAACTATTAAAATAATCCACACAGATCGTATTTCATGCAGAACCATAGATGAATCTGTGATTTTTTGTTGGCCCGTGACTTTTTCTCCACATTTGTTCCCCATTTACGTCGTGGCTTTTGCTGAGAAGTTGCGAGAGGGTCTGCTGAAGGTAGTCCTCATTATCTTCCTATCAACTTAGGAGTTTGCATTCTTTGAGATTGAGCCTTTTTTCGTACCCATTCTTTGGATATATGCTATCTCCACGTGCTTTAAAGCTAGTTCTTTCACATATGGGCTTCTGGGTGTCTGTAGTGGGGTACGTCACACTTCGCTACTTTTTACTATGACATTTATAGTTTAAATAGAATCTAGTGAAGGACGGACTACTTCGTCTGTCTTGCATGAACATTGTGAGCAATCGAAGCGAATTACATGTAGCACCTAGCGCACAAGCACAAGCTGCGTCTTCCTTTGTCGAGCTAACACCGAGGTCATATATAGTTGAGAAATAGTAATGAGGTGGCATATTTGTTTGCCTTCCCATATATCATACTTCTTGCAGAGTAGCTTGAGCTCGATGAAAGAGCATGATTAGCGTGACAGAATGCGTCGAGCCCGCCAGTCTTCATCCTCAGAATACTATTCTGAAGATATGATGGTCTTGTAAGACGAGATTTCATAGTTCGGCTCATCTCCGCTACATCATAATTTGCCGCACTGCCTATTGAATGGATTTTACTTTTGTTGAAATGCAGCCCATTGATTTTGAAGAAACGGGAAGTGAAAGTTAAGTTTATAGTAAACTGTTACCCTTGGACCAGACTCTGTTAAAGAAATATCCACGATTACTGGTTATTTGGCTTCAAACTTAAATACTATATACCATTAAGAGGAGTAAGCTGTGCTATACCTACTTTTCGTACTTCGATGCCAATCAGACCTCTGGGGGAGGATATGCCACATATCTGCAGTTTCCACTTCATTAGCAATATTCAACACAAATTTAATTAAATGATTGACTATTTGGATCGGCTGTTCTTTTGCGTATTTGTTGAAGACTTGCGCTAGCTCAACACAATACGGCACAATGTCGTGTGCATTCGTGCTAGCTGCTACGTGTTTTTTCTAACTTGCTGTGAACGCTCAGAGTTCTTACAGCATCAAACAATGTGCATTCTTGCTGTCACTCTATTCTCTTGTCGGCATCCTGAGCCGCGTGCGTGGGGAAAAGAAAAGGCTCCTTGTGTTGTACACTTAATGCTTTTTGTCAAGTTTGTAGTAAGTCTGGACATTTGTGTTTCCCCGCCAAGACATTGGTAGAGGGTAACAGTAAGTAGCATCGCATGGTTTCGATGCAGCTGTTTGCCCCACAACCATTGGCTGTGGAATGCAATGGGATGTCATGTTTCTTTAGAACAATTGCATGAATTCGTTAGAGATAATTACTAGTTCAATGATGGGCTTCTCTTTGTCAGCAATTTAGAAAAGCCCTCCGGCGGTGGAAGTGAACGGTGTCACAAAGCCTGTTGGGGTGGGCGAGGCTGGTCTGCAGCGTAATATGAACCCACTAACTCCACAACTGATACAATGGCATGAGTTTTCAGCTGACAAAATGTTGGCGGATGCTTTTCTCAGGTCATGCCAACCAGAAGAAAACGGTAGCCGTTACGATGGATGGGTAGTCCGTCTGGGACTGCAAAGCAAGGTACTTCTGTAGCCGGCTACTGAAATCTTGAATGGAAACGAATGCTCTCCTAGTATGAGCTTTTAATTTGAAAGCACTTTAACGGTGGCTGTATGCATTCAAAGGCAATAGTCTGTGCATAGGCTCTCGTGCAGTTCAAGTCCTCCGAAAAGCTCTGGCCCGTTCATGTAGACCGAAATCAGCTCAGCAGCAAGCGTCGAGAGAATTCAAAATGATTCTGCAAGTATTTTTATCAGTAGATCGGTATCTCCAGCAATATGAAGTCTTGGTTTGCAAAAGCCACGGCATATACGAGCAATTGCCTTACCAGTGATTTATTTTCGCATATGCAAAACATCACATGGGAGGGTGGCAGGGAGGACAGTTACTCGACCACTAAACAATAGTGAATGGGGTTCAACAGCTGCTAGATGAACTGCGGTTTCAAGAGCAAATAAGCAAGCGCAATTTCTGGGTCTACAGATGAAAAGGAAGAGGTACATCGGGTCAGAGTTTAACCTGTGATTCTGGGCCTGTCAACTGACCGTACGCCAGTCTTGGATAAACAAGAAAAGACGGCCAGAGGAAGCCTGCTCTTCTAAGGGGTGCCAGACAGCCTCCAAATAACGCACTTGCTTCTCCTGTGATGAAGGGAGACTGTGTCATCCTATCCGAAACAGTAATTGCATGCAAGAAGCCAAACAACTTGCAAAACATGACCGAGTACAGTGGACAGTGGCTACTTGGCAGGCAAAGAAAAGGCGCTAGAGAGAAGAAGAGAATTTGTGCGAGGAGCGGAGCAACGAAGGGGGATACAGAGAATAGGGCCATAGTTGGGGGCCCACTACGGGTCAACTATGCACTGGTACAACATCGCACTGATTTTCAAGAATTGTGAGCATTAGTTGACAGAAGATGGAAAGTGGATTAGTTATCCAAGGAGGCAACGCAGAATTGCGATCTGCCTGTTCGATCGTTAGCGTAGTCCCTAAGATTGAGGTCAGCTGACGGGAGGCAGAATACAAGGATTGGCATGGCTGCAGCCTTTATCTGCAAAATTTGGGCATATTGTAACAGCCCGTGACTTCTCTGTTGAACTGGCAACAACGACGTAATCATAGGTATGCCTTGGATTACTCAATGGGAGCGAAAATGCAGCCACGGCTGCGCGTTGTGGAAATTAGTGTGCCAAGAAGTGCTTGGAAGAAAGAGGTCCTGGCGTCCTGAGCAACGCTCATTTCATCGAGGGCAAAAGAGGTAGAGTAGGTGATTGGACAAGGTAAGGCAAAATGTTCCTGCACAGGGCCAAAAACAGACCATAATAGAAAACTCTTCTGAGCATGCGTCATGTCTTACTGGCTCCGAAACTGGCTTGTTGGTAGAAAAATAGTTTGAACAGTCAATTTTAAAAATTGCAGGAGTGGGCAAGTATCATGGGGAACTTCGTGAAAAAATATAATGACGAGCTGTCAGCAGGCTGGCCACCGACTGATCTTTTGGCGCCCCGTGAGGCGCAGCCCTTGAGTCACCCCTGAGTTATGTTAAATGACCTTATAAGCCTACCCGGCATGGCGAACAAATTAGTAGCAGTCAGATGACTTGTTTTGACGGAAAAGTATCGGAACTTAGCACCCACTTTGGTGTGTAAGCCTCCGTTGGAGTCAGAAAAGGACACAAAGTGGCGCATCTGCGTCAGCTATTAGCACCTGACGGAGATCTCGACGAAGAAAACATTTTTAATGCTTCAGTTTTGTCGATTGCCATTAGAAACCATGGATGAACACTCTACTTAACATAGGGCACCTCAGATGCTTTCATACAGATTTCTCTTCACCCGAAAGGCAGACACGAAACGGCGCTCTACACTCACGTTCAGAAGACTCTTGTATGCG